GGTTGACTGTCCTTGCAGGTTGGACAGGTTATTCAAAAAAAAAAAAAAAACCCGGCTGGGTTTGTCCCGGATTAGCCATTAAGGCCCAGCCCTCCAACGGGGGATACTTGGGCCGGTCATGCCCGGGTTGATGCCTTCGGGTAGGTTAACCCGCCTAAGCTGAACCCATTTGTTCACCTCTAATCAATATACATGCCTACCAATTTATTTCAATCTCACCAACATATTTTATATAACATTCCCCGATAATTTTTAAAGTAATTTATCTTCCCATTAAGTTTAAACATTTCTCGTATATATATTCCGGAAACCAAATGTTCCCTAAAGAGCCGTTTGGACAGGGTATATACAACGGGTTCTCTTCGTTTATTTTACAAGAGTTCTTGTGTTTGGTTTGAAAATAATAAAAATTACGGTATTCTTTTATTGTAAATAGTGTTTACTGTTGGTAATTGGAGGATAATCTTTTACCTTGCTATAGGGGATATTATAAACTTACTGGGGTAATCTGATTTTTTCTACCCATTTTGCCCTTAATTAAAAAATATTGTTATACAATTTCCCTCAAATGTCTACCAATAATGAATTATCCAGCCCCATACTTTGAGAAATTAGCTAAAACACCTAGCCCAAAAGTTTAAACGTTACAAAATACCCAGCCACCCAAGACTATCGCCGATCGTGACTTAATCCACCCTGTCGTCCGGTGGCGTCATTCCGTATAGGTACATGATCGGTGGAATCTGGTCGTTGTTGCCAGTAAGGGCCTTTTCCCAGCCATAATCATAAATTCATGTGGAAATGACCAGATCTAGCGTTTCTAGTGGTCGTTTCATGGCAAAAAGCATGTGTCCGTGAATGGCCATTGATCTGGCCGTTTTTTCGCCATGGTTTTGTGAATCCAGGACCATTTTCGCGCATTGTCGATGCATGACTGCCATAGACGACCAGTCATGCGCCATTTTTTGACTGCGGCGACGGCCGCCCTGGTGGGTTGGCTGCGGGCATTGGCTTGGTGGTGAGGGTGATTTTGCTACAAATTAAAGTTTTTAGCCTGTGGTGTTTTAGCAAAATTTTAATGTAGGGGTTAAGAAATGTTCAAATAATAATATAATACTATTATATTAATATTTAAAAAGAAGGGCAATTTGATACCTATAGAACATACCCACTCATTTATCTTCCAACCAAATTATTATTCACCAATTATTTAACCCAATCAACTCATTTTTAAATATTCACAATATCTTTAAGGTAATCTTTCTTTTCGTTAATATAAAATACTCCTAATAAATATTTTAGTCCAAACGCCTCTAAGTTATATTTAATAACTACTAAGCATAACATTACTTAAAAGATAAAAAATAGAGAGTTTACTCTCCGATAAAGATTGGCTAGTGACTCAATCATGCGTACTTTGAATCTTTGATACTTTCTTGATATTACTTTTTTTTTTTTTTTTTTTAATGATATTAAATATACAAAATGCTATCAAATTCTTGTATTTAGAGTGTATGATAGAAAGTAAATATAGAAGTTAACTCAATAACTTTTAATAATGAGAAATACCCCTACATCCAATAATTTATACCATTAGGCATTATGTTAATAACCAATATATTACGTTAGATGGATAAAAAAAAAGATGGAAAAAAGAGAATTCACTTTTCATTCAACTTATGGCCAATGGATCTCAATGATGAGAATTCAAGTGTTGTGAGGGTAATTGGACACTTAAACCTCGATAAATAATATTAGAATATTATAACCTCGATTAATTATATTTTTGATTGATCTAACTTAGACTAATGTGATAAATTAATCATTCGCTAAATTTATAAGATAATTTTTAAAAAAAAACACATAGTAATACTGGATATATAAATAATAAGTCGTTTATCATCAAAATTATAAGTATACATGAAATTATATGAATAATATTACAGATACTCATTCTCATGCAACATTATGGCAAGATATGATTGGATAAAAGTTTATTTTTAACTTTAAATACCAATCTATCTTAACCACATAATGTTGTATGAGAAATTATATGAGAATTATGTATATGTATATTACTCAAATTATATATATACATGACGTATTAAGAGACCTTTGTAAAATTGACTTCAATGTTACTTGTTTTCTTCTAAATTGATGTCCTTCTTATCCTTAATCTCTAATTGAACTTGAACTTGAACTTGAAAAATTTTGATAGAAGATTTTGAAAGGGATTGTGACTTAGCTTGAGTGCCAGAAAAAAACACTCATATATTATAATATTAAAAAAATAAGAATATTTTACAAATAGAAAACAATTTTCTATAGATCAAGAATAAGAAGAGGATAGTTACAAGGAGAAAATACATTTTCTAATAACTAATTCTATGCCACTTAAGTTATTTCTATTTGCTATTGTTATACCATATTAATTTATAAATATTATTTGCATTAATTTAATTTTTTTAGAAAAAGAAAATAAAGAACATCCCGATAGATTATATAATATGCCGATTAATTAATAATAAGTTTTCATACCCAAGGTATTAATTTATTGAAGTTTACCTGGACATGTTTTGGAGTGGAGCGGATAGCGGATACGAATTAATATCATGGCACGACGTTACAGCTACTTACTGATTCCCTCCTCTCTCTCTCTTTAAACACTTCTCATCTTCATATTTTCCGGTTTTGCAAAAAGGTTAGTGGTCGTACCGGAGCTGACATTATTTCTTTTCTGTTACGCAAAGGTTGCATTTTGCTTAGTCTCACAAACATCCCCGTCTTCTCCTCTCGTCCTTTTGCCACGGGCCATTCTTTTCGTCTTTTCCACGGACTGCTACGCTGAAGACCAAAAACTACCATCAAATCACTTCCCACTACTCTTAAGGAAAAAAGCCTAGTTTTTTTTTTCCGGTCTCGCATAGCGAAGTAGGGACTTGTCTCTTGAATTTTAGTGCAAAAATCCAACCTGGTCAAGAGTGGTGGTGGGGAAGGAAGGAAACACAAAATATATGGTTCTCCTTATAATCTACTATGCTTATATCTCTATATTCATTATTCTTTAATCAATATATATGTAAGAGAACCTTTTTCTGTAAATCTTTTCCCTGCGGGTTATATCCCTCCATGAACTCAGAACACAACCAAGGGAATCGGAGATGACCGAAGATTGTAATCTCCGACTATATATTTTTCATATATGTTCAATCTTCCTCGATTCAAAAGACATGATAGAAATATTGAGCTATATGTAATAATGATGCATGGACCTTAAAAAATGCATGAGGACAAACAGAGTATTTGGATTATCTTGACAAATCCTGACTGTTCATAAACACTATTTTCTTTTTTCAGTTTATTTTGTGTTTTGAAGTGGAAGCTCTTTTTGTCCAATTAGGAGCTTAAGACTAGCAATGGTTATGATCTCCTCTATATCATACATATTAAGGCAAATATGTAGTGTTGAGCTATTTCAACGTTCAGCATATGAAATATACTCGCTCTTTATGATCTTTGCTTTGCCAGCTATAACAATATTCAATATCATTAGAGAAGGAGGAAAACTGTGGCTTCTGTGGGTACGGTGTTAACCGCGAGGATGCTTTGACTGCTATGGATAAGTGTGGTATGCCTACAGTACTACGGTTTCTGTGATCTTTTGAAAAGAAATATGTTTCTATAATATGTTTATTAATGTTTTTTTGGTCTAGTACATTTGAGAATAAACATTAAGCTAATTGAGAAGCAGGGTCTAAATCAGAATCTTATGCTTCTAGATTTTGGCTGCCTACCCAACTTTAACTGCATTTTCTAGATTCTTAATCTTACATATTTTACCCAATTATCAAAAAGAGGAGGATGTTAATGTGTTGCTGTTGCTCATATCAAGTGTCTAATCTTACTTATTTTAGGATGCTTCCACTCCCACTTATCTCGAAGCAATATGATCTCATTTTCACAAGGAAAAGATGTTGTAGTAAAAACACTATCTCAATACATATACCATTTTCTTTTCCACTTCAAAATTCCCTGCATGAGTTGATGATCACTATGTAAGAGAAGTACAAAAAAGTATGTTATATTTCCTGAGCAGATTAATAGATTTTCTGCTTTTACCCTTATGATATTTGGTAAATATACTGGTAACTTGCATATAAAACATGTATAAACAAAGAGATCGTATTAACCATTTACCCTTAAAAAAATCGCAGTCCAAATACCCAAATACTGAACTGACAGATTTCTATATGCTGCTGAACTGGAAAAGGAATTGGTGGCTGCACTGAGAATACCTGATGGGGATGAGAAGTCATACTCAACATGTAATGTTTAAAACGCTTTCCTCAGTTGTTTTGTGAAGCTACGATGTGCATGTTTATTGTTTATACATGAACTAATTTTTTTCTTTGACGGCATTCGGCAGCCAAGAACCTTGAATTTCTCAGTAACAAAGAGGAACTTTACAAAGTGAAAAACAGGAAGCAGAGATCTCTGGCGAAGTTCGAAGAAGCAAGAGTGTGAAACCGAGGGGAGGATATACTTCCTAACCCAAGGATAGGATTTTGTGATCCTGATGAATGTTGCCTATAGTTTAGAAAGCTTCCGGAGCAGCTATAAGACCTCCCATTTGTATTTGAAAACGTTGGCTCTTACTCCCCAGGGAGTTTGGAGTAAAATATCTCGATTTTTGTATTCCATTGACACCAGAATTTGTTGATTCTGTCTACTTTTGTGCTTGTCAAGAAAAAGAGGTTACATTCATAACCTCCCAATTCACACCCGCTTTCCTCTTACGCCAAGACCCCGCGCACTATACAGGAAGCTATAACCGGACAAAAAAATGGTGGCCTTCTTTGGGACGGAAGAACAACACTTAATTGCATTCATACCAAGAGTGGAGTGCCAAACTCGCAGAAAGGATAAGGCAAGGCGCTTGAGGATACGATGGTGAACCGGAACCTCCTCGCCATGTCAACGTATGTGCTGCAGATGCAAAAATGATTTGGTTTGGGTTGGAAGAAACAGTTGCACCTATTGAACCTAATGAAATGGAGATGTTATGGATTCCCAAGGAACCATACAAGGGGTGGTGGAATGTAATGGAGATCGATACACAGCTCTGGGAAACTCCTTTCGGTAATTGGAACTTTTTGCCTTTCATTTGGGATAATTAAGCAGTTATATATTGACTTCCTGATGTAAATCAAAATTGATTTCAGGTTGACACAGTTGCCCTACCACCTTTTCGCCTTGAAGGAAAGTTTCCAAATGGGATTAATGTCTTCTTTCTCTTTTCTTCTGGCATTGGTGGAGCGGAGGTTGCATTGCATCGCGTGGGATTCCTTGAAGAATGTGGTGTCGTAGAGATTTCTTAGGTGACAAAAATTGTACGGGCTGGTGGAAAGAGACAACCAGTGTGGAAATCTAATGGAAATTGCAGATGTCCAAGAAGTCACCTGGGACAAGTTGGAGCAGTATGTGAGCTTATTTGGAGGATTTGTTTTGATCTTCTATTGGTGGAAGTCCATCAATAACCTCAGTGGCCCGCAACAGAGTGAGCAGAGTTGGGCTGGAAGGTGAGATTCATCTCTATTCTACGAGTATTTCGCATCCTCGACCTTGTTAAATGTATAATGGGATAAGCTCAATGAACCTACATACTTGATTCTCTATTTTTGTGGAGTCTTATTTTTGGTAAGCTTCTGTGCAAATGTGCCATTGACCACTATATTCTGTATGTCGTTACATTATCTATAATTTTCATTGGTTTTATGTTATTTGATTTGAAGGAATATTCATATACTAGTCATTTATCGCAAACGTTGCGCGAAGAAGTGTAATGTCCGAAATTGATAAGATTCTTTATTGTCCCTTCATTATAATAGAATACACAGATATGAAATTGATGGAGATTACAAAGTGTGAAGTAAATACAAAATGTTAAACCCCCCGGGATTGGTTTGAAGGTCAAAGAGGTTGCTCTCTTCCTTAAGTTTCGGTTCAAACCTTGAACATCTATCACATAACATATGGCTTTATCTAATCTTTTGGTTTTAGAGTATTCAATGGACCCCGAATAATTGATATCCGCATAAACTGGCCCTGAAATCTCAGTTACCAAAAAAAAAAAATTACAGAATGTATACAAGGCTAAGTATAGTTAATTTGGCTTGTTGGTGTAGTAAACTGAAATTGTCCATTCTCTTCACTTTGTACCCCTTTTTTTAAGGATCTGGTCATGGTGGTGTACTTGTATTTTAGGTTTTGGAAGCTATGACTAGGGGTGTTTGTTTGAGTTTATGAAAATTAGCTTATAAGTAATAGTGCTTATAACTAATTTTACCTTATAATTTTGAAATTTTAACGCATTACGTGTTTGGTAAATGTGTCTTATAAGTCCATTTATTATTAAAATGCCTAAAAAGGGTACTACATAAACAAGAGTATACTATAGAATTTTAAAATTAATAAGGATATGTGAATAATATACTTAGTCAAACTGCTTTAAAGCAAGTTTTTATAAGCAAAAAAGAAAAAAAGGTATCTCCCTCCCAACCTCTTTTTTTTTTTTTTTTTTTTTTTTTTTTTTTTCCTATTAGCTCAAAAAATTATAAACAAACAGATCAGTTTAATTTTGAAGCTTATAAACTAGTTTGACCATTTTACAACACCTTTGTTTTGGGGCTCAATAGTGCATTTACTTTATCAGAAGGCATGTTTATAAGCAGTGCTTTTTATTTTGTTATTCCTATTTTCCCCATTCTTAGGGAAGTTGGTTTTAACTGAAATTCATATGGTTTTGGCTCTTTGACTTTTTTTCCTCGATCCCCCTTATTTTGATGGGCTGATACTATTGCTTTAATTTCTTGTTTTAACCTTAGAAAGAATAAATATTACGTACACTAACAAAAACCATACAATCTAGTATTACTTGTTGTAAATAAAACCCAATATACATTGAATCGTGCAATGTCCAGTTTAGGAATCAAATCTAACAATCATAAATAATAAGATAAAGCAGTAAAGAAAATAGACAATAAGACACCAATTTATAGTGGTTCGGTAATCTGAAAGATTACTACATCCACTCTTCAAAGGCAACCAGAAAAGGATTTTACTATGATTTTGAAAACCTTACAGAAGAATCGGCTCACCCCTTTTACACCAAGGCATCAACCCGCACAAACCCTCTGTTTACACACCCTATACCCAGATGCGCTCACCACTCATACATCACACACAACAGCAGAAAATCATACAGATTTATACAAACAGTAAGGCTATAACAGAACAGGAACAGCTCACACCTACCATCACCGTTGATCCCTGGACAGGATAGGATTTCCACACAGCCATCTCTAACCGTTTCTCTCTCTGTTAACCAAGAGAGTAAGGGAGAAAATGAGCTGCGCACACAAGACCTAATTCGATTTAGGTTTCGGGAATACAGGGAAAAGACAGAACTGCCCCTTTAGTCTTAACAATTTACTTTGACCAGCCAACTCCAGTTTTGACTCCTACGTGTCATATAAAAATGCCACATCACTACATAACTGATATAGCATATCTTTTTTATTGCCACGTCAGTTCTCTCCAAAAACTAAAAAAAAAAAAATTTCAAAATTTCAATTGTTAGTACTTGGATGAATACAATTTGGTTAGTGCACATAGCATTACTCCTTTAGAAAAATGCTACGGACATCGACACTTTACATCGAATTTTTACACCGAACGATGTGTCCACTGAATCAGACAAGCCACATATCACGTTAACAAATATTTCGTAAATGAACGGTCGTTCATTTGCGATGGACTCTCGTCCATATTATGTGGACGGTTGTCCACCTAGAATAGACGTCCGTTCATAGTTTATACTAAAAAAATTTAGCCTAAATTGTTTGAGGACGGGTGTCCTCTTATAATATTAACAAATTTTGAAATTTAAATTTATTTAATGCACTAATTGTGAATCCTAATTGAGTTGGTGTCATATTCATATGACACTTGTCCAATTACTTTGAATATAGACAAAAATTTAATGAAGATAACGACATTTACTTTTTGGATTGAGACTCAAATGTTGGTGTCAATTTTTTTAAATTAAATAATAGACAGACGTCCATTTAAAAGGGATACATGCCCATTGAATATGGACATTCGTCCATATAATATATGGATGGATGTCTATAGTTTTTATTTTAAATTTTTTTTGGATTGGCGTCCATCTTATATGGACACCCGTCTATAGTAAATAGACACTTGTCCATATAAGATGGACGGGCGTCGATTATTTTTCTTTTAAAATTTGGGCGTCCATCTTATATGGACGTCCATCCATAGTAAATAGACACCCGTCTATATAATATGAACAGGAGTCTATTAAATATGAGCGGATGTCCATAAATATTGGACGGTCATTCATTCACGAAAGATTTCAACATAGTCGCGTTTGACTAGTTGTCATGTCCTTTGATACAAAAATTCGATGTAAAATTTTCGTGTCCGTAGCATCACTCTTATCCTTATTTGGTCATATTACTGTGGACTACATGTCTTCATACTCGTATTTCTGATTTGGGAACCCCCAAGGTATTATTTTTGGTCCGAACAGCAAAATATATTTTAAAGACACTACTCATATAAGAAACGATCGTACAATTATAATGGCCTCTAAGTTACGAAAATTATGGGTTCTCTCCGATGTTTTTTTTTTTTTTTTTTTTATCAATTTAGTGTATTCATTTTAGTTTCTTATATAAAACGGGGCTCAAGTTTCTCTTTCCTAATCACCATTTGCTCTCTTTTCTGGCTTAAAATTCGGCAAAATTGGTAACTGAGGAAGATTTTTGCGAATTCCTACACAAGAAAATTGGTAACTGAGGAAGATTTTTGCGAATTCCTACACAAGAAAAATTGAAATGGAAATGCAAAAACCATAAACGAGCGTATTTAATATTTGATCTTGGGTGGTGAGAAGAAAAGGTCTACACAAAGTTGCACCGATAGCGATAATCTCCTGAAAGAGATGTGCAATGAAAAAACATAGCTTATGAAAATTTCTTCTGTATGTTTATCCTATTTATATTCAAAGTTTTTCTGAACACAAAGATAATTTGTATTTGATCTTCCAAGAGTACTGTACCCATGAGAAAATATTATTCCACTTGGCCTCTGACCCCAGCAAGATTTTACATAAACATAGAAAAATAAAAAAAAAATCTTGTACAAATGATAAGTTTAACATTTTTTATATTATATTTATCTATTTCTTACATGTGTCAGAAGAAGAGTAGTAGTATATGAATGTAATTGCCCACATCTTCTTAGTCACACTACAAATCATTACTAAAATGCGAACTAACTTTCAAATAATAGGACGACGTGTCATTTTCTTTATTGAAACAAGAACGACAACTCTGTCATCAATTCCAAGGAAAAGAAGAGAGGACAAACCGTTCTCCACTCCTGCGGTTTACTCTAAATTCCAAAACCGACATCGGCGCCAACATCACAGCTTAGTTAAATTAAAGTTCTGTTAAGTTATGACAAAACGACGCTTTCCCATCTTTCCTCAAGTNTTTTTTTTATGCCCAACGGCCAACCCATCAAGTTGACCTACGGTTGACTGTCCTTGCAGGTTGGACAGGTTATTCAAAAAAAAAAAAAAAAAGACCCGTCGGGTTGTCAGGTTAGCCTATTAAGGCCCAGCCCGTCCAACGGGGGATACTTGGGCCGGGTCAGGCCCGGGTTGATGCAGGTCGGGTTAGGGTTAACCCGCCTAAGCTGACCCATTTGTTCTACCTCTAATCAATATAACATGCCTACCAATTTATTTCAATCTAACCAAACATATTTTATATAACATTCCCATTAATTTTTAAAGTAATTTATCTTCCCATTAATTTAACATTTCTCGTAATATAATATTCTCGGAACCAAATGGTTCCCTAAAGAGCCGTTTGGATCAAGGGTATATAAGAAAACGGGGTTAATCTTCGTTTATTTTACAAGATTCTTGTGTTTGGTTTGCAAATAATAAAATATTACGGTAGTCTTTTATTGTAAATAGTGTTTACTGTTGGTAATGTGGAGGATAATCTTATTACCTTGCTAGGGGGTATTATTAAAACATTACTGGGGTAATCTGATTTTTCTACCCATTTTGCCCTTAATTAAAAAATATTTCGGATACAATTTCCCTCAAATGTCTACCAAATAATAATTATCCAGCCCCCTTACATTTGAGAAATTAGCTAAAACCACCTAGCCACAAAAAAGTTTAAAAGTTAACAAAATACCCCTAGCCACCCAAGACTATCGCCGATCGTGACTTATAGCCACCCGGTCGCCGGTGTCAGTCGCCGTAATGGTACATGATCGGTGGAATCTGGTCGGTTGTGTGCCAGTAAGGCCTTTTCCAGCCATAGATCATAAATTCATGGTTGGAAATGACCAGATCTAGCGTTTCTATGGTCGTTTCATGGCAAAAGATGTGGCCGTGAAATGGCCATTGATCTGGCCGTTTTTCGGCCATGGATTTGTGATCCATGACCATTTTCGGCTTTGTCGATGCATGACTGGCCATATACGACCAGTCATGCGCCATTTTGTTGACTGTCGGCGACGGCCGACGGTGGTGGTTGGCTGCGGGCAATGGCTTGGGGTGGGTGAGGGTGATTTTGCTACAAATTAAAGTTTTATATGACTGTGGTGTTTTAGCAAAATTTTAAATGTAGGGGGTTAAAAGAAATGATTCAAATAATAATAATAATACTATTATATTAATATTTAAAAAGAAGGGCAATTTAGTAACCTATAGAACATACCCACTCATTTATCCTTCCAACCAAATATATTATTCACCAATTTATTTAACCCAATCAAACTCATTTTTTAAATATTCACAATAATCTTTAAGGTAATCTTTCTTTTCGTTAATATAATATACTCCTATAATAAAATATTATATGATCCAAACGCCTCTAAGGTTATATTTAATAACTAATAAGCACATTACTTGAAAAGATAAAAAATAGAGAGTTTACTCTTCCGATAAAGATATTGGCTAGTGATCTCAATCATGCGGTACTTTGAATCTTTGATACTTTCTTGATATTACTTTTTTTTTTTTTTTTTTTTAATGATATTAAATATACAAAATGTCTATACAAATTCTTGTATTTAGAGTGTATGATAGAAAGTAAATATAAGAAGTTAAACTCAATAAACTTTTAATAAATGAGAAATAAACCTACATACCAATATATTTATACCATTTAGGCATTAGATTTAATAACCAATATATTACGTTAGATGGATAAAAAAAAAAGATGGAGAAAAAGAGAAATTCACTTTTCCAGTCAACTTATTGGCCAATGATCTCAATGATGAGAAGTCAAGTGTGTGAGGGTAATTGGACACTTAAACCTCGATAAATTAAATATTAGATAATTAATAACCTCGATTAAATTATATTTTTGATTGATCCTAACTTAGGACTAATGTGATAAATTAATAATTCGCTAAATTTATAAGATAATATTTTAAAAAAAAACACATAGGTATTACTTGATATATAAATTAATAATCGTTTTATACATCAAAATTATATATATACATGAAAATTATATGAATAATATTACAGATACATCATTCTCATGCAACATTATGTGGCAAGATATGATTGGATAAAAGTTTAATTTTAACTTTAAATTAACCAATCATATCTTACCACATAATGTTGTATGAGAAATATTATATGAGAATTATGTATATGTAGTATTACTCAAATTATATATATACATGACTTAATTAAGAGACCTTTGTAAAATATGACTTCAATGTTACTTGTTTTCTTCTAAAATTGATGTCTTCTTATACCTAATCTCTAATTGAACTTGAACTTGAACTTGAAAAATTTTGATAGAAGATTTTGAAAGGGATTGTGACTTGCTTGAGTGCCAAGAAAAAAACACTCATATATTTATATATATAAAGAATAAATAAGTATGATATTTACAAAGAGAAAACAATTTTCTATAGATAACAAGAATAAATAGAGTATGATATTTACAAGGAGAAAACAATTTTCTATAAACTAATTCTTATGCCACATTAATGTTATTTCTATTTGCTATTATTTATACCATATTAATTTTATAAAATATGTATTTGCATTAAATTTAATATTTTAGAAAAAGAAAATAAAGAACATCCCGATATGATTAATTAATATGCCGATTAATTAATTAATAAGTTTTCATAGTCCCAAGATATTAACTTATTGAAGCTTATCTGGACATGTTTTGGAGTGGAGGGGAGTAGAGTGGAGCGGATAGCCGGATACGAAATTAATAGTCATGGCACGACGTTACAGCTACTTACATGAATTCCCTCCTCTCTCTCTCTTATAACACTTTCCCATCTTCATATTTTCCGGTTGTTTTCGCAAAAACGGGTTAGTGGTCGTACCGGAGCTGACATTATTTCTTTTCTGTTACACAAAGGTTGCATTTTGCTTAGCTCACAACATTCGTCCTCTCCCTCTCGTTCCTTTTGCCACGGCCATTCTTTTTCGTCTTTTGCCCACGGACTGCTACGCTGAAGACCAAAAAACTACCTTCTAAATCACTTCCCACTACTCTTAAGGAAAAAAGCCTTGGTTCTTTTTTTTTTTTCCGGTCTCGCATAGCGAAGTAGGGACTTGTCTCATTGAATTTTAGGGCAAAAATCCAACCTGGTAAAGAGGATAGGTGGGTGGGGAAGGAAGGAAAACACAAGTATATATGGTTTCTCCTTATAATCTACTATGCTTATAGCTCTATTATTCATTATTCATTGTAATCAATATATATGTAAAGAGAACCTTTTTCTGTAAATCTATTTTCCCTGCGGTTAATTTACTCCAGCTATGAAGCTCAGAACAAACCAAGGGAATCGGAGTGACCGAAGATTAGTAATCTCCGACATATATATTTTCATAGATGTTCAATCTTGCTTCAGATTCTAAAAGACATGATAGAAATATATTTGAGCTATATGTAATATATGCATGAACCTTAAAAAATGCATGAGAATCGAAAAGAGTATTTGGATTATCTTGACAAATCCTGACTGTTCATAAAACTATATATATATATTTTTTTTTTTTTCAGTTTATTTGTGTGTTTGGAAGTGGAAGCTGCTTTTTGTCCAAAGCTAGGAGCTTAAGAGCTAGCAATGGTATGATCTCCTCTTATACCATAAATATATTATAGGCAAAATATGTAGGTTGAGCTATTTCAACGTTTCAGCATATGAAATATGACTCGCTCTTTATGATCTTTGCTTTGCCAGCCTGATAACAAATATTCAAATAAATCATTAGAGAAGGAGGAGAAACTGTGGCTTCTGGTGGGTACGGGTTATACCGCCGAGGAGGCTTTGACTGCTATGGATAAGTGTGGTATGCCTACAGTACTACGGTTTTCTGTGATCTTTTGAAAAAGAAAATATGTTTCTATATTATGTTTATTAATGTTTTTTGGTCTAGTACATTTTGAGAATAAACATTGAGAGCTAATGGAGAAGCAGGGTCTAAAATCATAATCTTATGCTTTAGATTTTAGGCTGCCTACCCAACTTTAACTGCATGGTTCTAGATTCTTAATCTTACATATTTTACTCAATTTATCAAAAAGAGGGAGGATGTTAATTGTTGCTGTTGCTCATATAAAGTGATCTAATCTTAATTTATTTAGTATGCTTCCACTCCCTCTTATGAATTTGAGTCAATATGATCTCATTTTCACAAGGAAAAGATTGTTGTGGTAAAAACACAATCTCCATACGTATACCATTTTCTTTTCCACTTCAATAATTCCCTGCATTAGTTGATGATCACTATGTAAGAGGAAAGTAGCAAAAGAAGTATGTTATTATTTCCTGAGCAGATTATAGTATTTCTGCTTTTACCCTGTATGATATTTGGTAAATATTACTGGTAACTTGCATATAAAACATGTATAAACAAAAGATCGTATTAACATTTAACCCTTAAAAAAATCGCAGGTCCAAATACCCAAATAGCTGAACTGACAGATTTCATATATGCTGCTGAACTGGAAAAGGAATTGGATGTCTGCACTAGAGAATTACCTGATGAGGAGGATGAGAAGTCATACTCACATGTAATGGTTTAACGCTTTCCTCAGTTTTTTGTGAAGCTAACGATGTGCATGTTTATTGTTTATACATGAACTAATTTTTTCTTTGACGGCATTCGGCAGCCAAGGAACCTTGAATTTCTCAGTAACAAGAAGAGGAAACTTTACAAAGATGAAAAACAGGGAAGCAGAGATCTCTGGCGAAGTTCGAAGAAGCAAGAGTGTGAAACCGAGGGGAGGATATACATTCCTAACCCAATGATAGGATTTTGTGATCCTGATGAATCATGGCCTATAGTTGAGAGAAAGCTTCCGGAGGCAGCTATAAGACCTCCCTATTTTTATTATGAAAACGTGGCTCTTACTCCCCAGGGAGTTTGGAGTAAAATATCTCGATTTTTGTATGACATTGAACCAGAATTTGTTGATTCTGTCTACTTTTGTGCTTGTGCAAGAAAAAGAGGTTACATTCATAACCTCCCAATTCACAACCGCTTTCCTCTTACGCCAAGACCCCCGCGCACTATACAGGAAGCTATACCGTGGACAAAAAAATGGTGGCCTTCTTGGGATGGAAGAACAACACTTAATTGCATTCATACCAAGAGTGGGAGCGCCAAACTCGCAGAAAGGATAAGGCAAGCGCTTGAGAAGTACGATGGTGAACCGGAACCTCCTCGCCATGTTCAAACGTATGTGCTTGCAGAATGCAGAAAATGGAATTTGGTTTGGGTTGGAAGAAACAAAGTTGCACCTATTGAACCTAATGAAATGGAGATGTTAATGGGATTCCCAAGGAACCATACAAGGGGTGGTGGAGTATGTAATGGAGATCGATACACAGCTCTGGGAAACTCCTTTCAGGTAATTGGAACTTTTTTAGCCTTTGCATTTGGGATAAATTAAGCAGTATATATTGAATTCCTGATGTAAATCAAAAATTGATTTCAGGTTGACACAGTTGCCTACCACCTTTCTGTCTTGAAGGAACAGTTTCCAAATGGGATTAATGTTCTTTCTCTTTTCTCTGGCATTGGTGGAGCGGAGGTTGCATTGCATCGACTTGGGATTCCTTTGAAGAATGTGGTGTCAGTAGAGATTTCTGAGGTGAACAGAAATATTGTACGGGGCTGGTGGAAAGAGACAAACCAGTGTGGAAATCTAATTGAAATTGCAGATGTCCAAGAAGTCACCTGGGACAAGTTGGAGCAGTATGTGAGCTTATTTGGAGGATTTGATCTTCTGATTGGTGGAAGTCCATGCAATAACCTCAGTGGCCGCAACAGAGTGAGCAGAGTTGGGCTTGAAGGTGAGCATTCATCTCTATTCTACGAGTATTTTCGCATCCTCGACCTTGTTAAATGTATAATGGGATAAGCTCAATGAACCTACATACTTGATTCTCTATTTTTGTGGAGTCTTATTTTTGGTAAAGCTTCTGTGCAAATGTGCACTTGACACACTATATTCTGTATTGCGTTACATTATCTATAATTTTCATTTGGTTTTATGTTATTTGATTTGAAAGGAAGATTCATATACTAGTCATTTATCGCAAACGTTTGCGCGAGAAGTGTAATGTCCGAAATTGATAAGATTCTTTATTGTCCCTTCAATTATAATAGATACAAAGATATGAAATTGATGGAGATTACAAAAGTGTGAAGTAAATACAAAATGGTAAACCCCACGGGATTGGTTTGAAGGTCAAAGAGGTTTGCTCTCTTTTTTGAGTTCTTGGGTTCAAACATTGAGACCCCTTACCATAATAACATTATGGTTTGTTTGGTTCTTTGGGTTTGTAAGATATTCAATGGACCTCGAGGATTAGTTGAGATACGCGTAAGCTGGTCCGAACACCTCAGTTACCAAAAAAAAAAAATTACAGAATGGTAGTACAAGGCTAAGTATAGTTAATTTGGCTTTGTTGGTGTAGTAGAACTGGAATTGTCCATTCTCTTCAACTTTGTACCCCTTTTTTAAGGAATCTGGATCATGGGTGGTTACTTGTATTTTAGGTTTTGGAAGCATGACTTAGGGGGTGTTTGTTTGAGTTTATGAAAATTAGCTTATAAGTAATAAGTGCTTATAAGCTAATTTTACCTTATAAGCATTTGAAATTTTAAGCAATTACGTGTTTGGTAAAATNTCGTCGTTCGGTGCTGTCTCTGACGATTCCATCTGTTTAAATCATTCCTCCGTAAGTTAATGAATCATCGAATTACGACGTAAATGAAGCATTTTTCTTTCGCGTTAATAACTACGTACCTTATTATCATCGTTGTCATGATCATCATGATGTTGTTTATTGGATGATTTTGAAGAGTTTGGTTTATAAGGAGGGGGTGGAGAGACGGTGCCGTAATCGTGAGGAGGCGCAGGAGCTTGTTCCCCTCTGGCCACCTTGTTCACATCTCTTGATCTCATCTTGTCGCGTGGATCTACTTGTGCAGCCGACATGACTGATACTTCGATTCTGCTCTCTTTCATACTACCTCAGATCAAATCAAATCAAATGTTGCGGTGTTTTTGTACAATGTTTGCCGAACAACAGTATCCTTCAGAATTTTGTACATTACATAGCTCAGTCTCTAGTCCTCCTCTTGACATAGAGCCACGTCGCAGTGCAGAAGACACCTGTACTTAGTTCCGTTGTCAGGATAGTGATGTGTCTGCAGTACACTACGCTGATCCAAACCAAAGGCATGCTAGAATATTATTAATTCAACAATGCTAGGGACATGGAATTGTTACATCGAATTACGTGTCCCGTGACTTAGACCGGTCATGTATCCCATGAAGAAAAATGTTACGGCCACCGACGCTTTGCACCGAACGATGAGTCACTGTATCAGACAAGCCACGTATCATGTTAACAAATATTCTGCGAATGAACGACCGCCCATCAAATATGGACGACCGTCCATTGTTATTGAGCAACCGTTCATTTGAAATGGACTCCTGTCTACATTATATGGACGGCTGTCCACCTAGAATGGATGTTTGTTCATAGTTTAAACTAAAAAAATTTGGCCTAAATTGTTTATGGACGTCCATCCTCTTATGAGGACGACTGTCCATCTTTTAATATTAACAAATTTTAAATTTTAAATTTATTTAATGCATTAATTGTGAATCCTAATTGAGTTAGTGCCTTATTCTTATGACACTTGTCCAATTACTTTGAATATAGACAAAAATTTAATGAAGATAACGACATTTATAGACTCAAAATATTGTAAAAAAATTTTAATCAAACAATGGACAGACGTCCATCTAAAAGGGACGTCTGTCCATTGAATACGGACGTCCATAATTTTTGTTTTAAATTTTTTTTATTTTAAACAATGGACGGGCGTCCATTTTAGGTGAATGCCCGTCCATAGTAAATAGACTTCCGCCCATATTATATGAACGGAAAGTTCATTGTTATTTTCTCATGGACAGGCGTCCATTATAGGTGAATGGCCATCCAATAATCACAGACGCTCGTCCAATAATCACGGACGCCCATTATTTTGCTTTTAAAATTTTTTGGACGCCCGTCCATAGTAAATAGACACCCGTTCATATAAGATAGATGAGTGTCTATTATTTTTCTTTTAAAATTTTTTGGACGGGCGTCCATCTTATATGGACGCTCATCCATAGTAAATGGACACCTATCCATATAATATGAACGGGAGTCCATTAAATATGGGCAGGCGTCCATAAATGTTGGACGGCCATTCATTCACGAAAGACTCAAGCGTGGTCGCATCTGACTAGTTGTCATGTCCTTCGGTACAAAAATTCGGTGTAAAATTTCGGTGTCCGTAGCATTATTCATCCCATGAACCAATATTTTGCGAGTGAACGGTCGTTCATCACCTATGGACGGTCGTTCACTATTATTAGATAGAAGTCCATTATATGTGGACGCTCATCCATGCGAAATGAACGATGGACTCTCGTCCATACTTAAAGAAGCTTCCCTCAGCTTCTTTGACTTGGTATGCACCCCTTTGCCTTTTGCCTCTCAAGTAAACTGTATGCTTCATTAAACATTCCAGCTAAGCCATAACCCATGATCATGGTGTTATAAGCATATACACATGGAACTTTCCTATTGTGGTCCATTTGCTCAAACAACTCCACAGCTTCCTCTAGTCTATTAGCTTTGCAGAGAACCCCTATCATACTGGTATAAGTTACATCGTCAGGTGCTAGTCCATTTGCTTTCATCTCGTGAAAGAATTTCCAAGCAATATCCACCTTACCTGCCTTACCAAAAAAATCTATACATACATTATAAAGAACAACGTCAACATGAAAAGAGTTTCTCTTCATCTCATCCAACAGGGAGAGAGCAGCATCAACACGACCCTCCTTGGCAAAAACACGGATAAGAGTTGTAAACAGATGAACATCAACCTCATAACCTAGCTCCTGCATTTGATGAAAGAGAGCAAACATGAGATCAGATTCATGAACCGCAGAAAGAGCACCAATCAAAGTTGTGTAAGCTGAAAAAGCAGGCCTGAATTTGAACTTCCTCATGGTCTGAATAATATCAAAAGCTTCCCTCAGCTTCTTTGACTTGCCACAGCTTAAAATTAACTCAATACACGTGTTATTAGTTGGGCCAAATCCAGCAAGACACATTTCTCCCAGAATCGCTTCTAGAAAATCAAACTTCTTGGTATGGACGGGCGTTTCTAGTTTATGGACGATCATCCCTGAAAAGTGGACAGGTGTCCACATATAATGGACGTTTGTCCATACTTTAAAAAAAAAATACTATTTAATTTATAATATTGGGACGCCCGTTCATCATTTATGGACGACCATCCCTAAGTTTTGGACAGGCGTCCACTCTGTAAATTAAAAAAAAATACAATTGTATGCAAAATTCAGGGATGGTTGTTCATCAGTTATGGACGGGCGTACTATAACAGTGAACAACCGTTCATAGGTGATGAACGGTCGTTCACTCGCAAAATATTGGTTCAAGGGATACGTGGTTGGTCTGAGTCACGGGATACGTAATTCGGTGTACAATATCAGTGTCCGTAGCATTGTTGTTATTAATTACCCCAACAATATATTAGATGTCGTTTTATGCCTTTAAAAGCGCTGCCTTAAATTTTCTTGCGTTTTGCCTTCGGACTCCCAACCTCATCTGGTCTTTTAACAAATCACAAGGTTCTATGCAAATTAAATTTATTAGTGAGCCTGGGTTATGTTTAGAAGCCAACAAGTTTAATTAATTGAATGATATATGTAGAGGCCAACAAGTTTATAATTGATGTTTGTACTTTGTAGAGTCTACTGCCAAATCCAATACGCTTCAATCATATTCTTTTGCAATTTATAATTACAATTAGTGATGATCTCAATAGACTTAACCATAACTAATGGAAACAAAACTTTATTTCTTCACTTTTAATCTTCGTATAAGCAATTACATTTCCGCAACAATCCCTTTAATATTAAGTGATAAAGGATTAAATTACATATTTCTGTAATTTAATCCTATGCTGATGACTACAAGTGACCTTCTAGGAAGCTTCCTTGAGCTAGCTACAAACCAAATCTACAATATCTGAATTTAGTTTCAATTTTTTCTCTTTTATTTCTTAAATGAGCACAAAATATTAAATTATGCTACGAAGCTTCCTTCAAATGACAAATTCTTACTACCAAAGCTATACATAACACGCATAGTATTCCTACACAAACAACACACCAACCTTGCAAAATGTGGCATTTATCTTTCTTCTTCCTCTTCTTCTTCATTCTAACTTCTCCAAATTACAAAACCTTTACTTCAACTGCTACATCACTCGATATACTTGACCAAACTTGTAGAACATGTGCTGATAGATCCATCGTCTTTAGCTACAATGTATGTTTAAATTCTCTCCAAACAATCCCAGTTTGTCATGCCACTAATCTTCAGGGACTAGCATTGATTGCCATGGAACTAGCTCTAGAGAATGCAACTACTTCAATTTCAACCATAAATAAGCTGTTGACAAGCGGAACTTTGGACCCTTTTGCGCTAGCTTGCTTAGAGGATTGCTTGAAACTGTATTCAAGTGCGGTTGTCACACTGATAGATGCTACTGGAGCTTTTTTGACCGGGGAATATGGTATAGCCAATGTGTGGCTGACTGCAGTTATGGAAGCGTCAACGACATGCGAAGAAGGATTCTCAGAAAGGGAAGAGATGGAGTGTCCTCTGAAAAAAGAGAATTATAATCTCTTTCAGTTATGTGATATTGCATTATGCATCATCAACTTGCTTTCTCTACATGTAAATTCTTAACTAAGTGGTATTTGCACTTATTTGTGTATTGTGTAAGGTAATGCAGCCATGATAGTCCAGGAAACAAAGGAGGACTTATTATTAGAGAACATAAGCTTTCAAACCCAACCAAATAAAGCAATGTCAGTTACATCCTATCAGTATTTTGTTTATGGTTATTCACTGCTATTTGTAACTTTGACCAAATTATTTCTTAGTCCAATTCCCAGCTCCGTTATATATTAGCAACTGCTTTTGTTTTAACATTGATAGACAACTGAAGTCACTGTAGACAACAAAAAATTAATAATACTGTAGTTTCATTCTGGGGAATACAAAGCATCAGGACGATTTTATCTTCCGATGCTATAACCTTTGCAATTATTGAGACAGCAGAGGAGCAAATTCAATTACAAATCATCGAATTTTACACATTTAAATTTGGAATTGAAAGATTGAATCTCTGCAAAACATGAGGAAGCAGGAAAACTAAGGCTGAAATTTGAAGTTTAAAGACAAACATGTTTTCAATTATATTAGGCATCAACAACTCTTTAATTCCGCAGACTTTGTATTTTCACGCTGGTAAAAATTGAGCAGAGTCGAACTTCCCCAAAAATGTATCGGTTCAGATTCACTAATCTGAATATACAATCTAAATGGGCGGGAGCCTAATAATTTTCATCTCACCATCCCAAAAAGCTTAGCAAGGCTTTGTATCAAAAGGACGAAAGAAGTTCACAAAATTGCAGGTTGAAACTATTCATCCCCCAAAACTTTTCTTGTGAAATATGAGTTAAATAACTGGGAACTGCAGCATTTCAATTGAATCTTTTTAAACGTGAGGAATATATACTCTTTTTACAAATATTATACAAACAGATTCTGTGGCTCCTTTTAACCTTCTCTTCTTATCGATTAGAAAACTTCCTCTAAGGAAGTAAGTGTTTCATTAATTTTGTAAAGAATACATTTGATTCACCGTTGCTTCCCCTAACCAATACAATCCCAAGACCAGCAAAATTTCACTCTTCAAGCAGAGTTAAAAGCAGTAATCTTACATTCCAGCAGCATGAAGTCCTTCACTTTCTTCCACTTCTTTTGTCTTGTTATCAGAGCTGTCATGATTCAAGGCCAATAACAATTTCTGATCTTTGTCCACATTGCTGATACTACTCTTTACCAGGGAAAGCTGATCCATCGCAATAGCATTTCTTTTGTAGTTCCAAACAAGCATTGAAATGTAATCCTGGGGCGAAACAAGACCTTGTTCTCTAATGCAACTTCGTTGCTCTTCCACAGTTTTTGGATCATCAAGCTTTGTATACTCAAGCAATGCTTTCTCATGGCCAGGTCTCCAGTTGCTTGGGAAGGGTGAATAGTCGGCCTCAGGTACAAGGGACATTCTAGTATACAAAAGTCCATCAATTGATTCGACAAGACCCATTCTCAGCAAATTCTGATAATCAGGTGACTGTCCTTTCTTCTCTTTCAGAGGACGACTCAGATTCCGAGAACCAATTGTATAAACCTTTGCCCGTGAACGCAGCTTGTATTTTGCGGCATAAAGCTTTGCAAGTGAACCCCTTATGATGTAGGAACAAAAACTCACAATTTTCTTCCGATTGTCTGCATATCTATACCATTCAGCCATCGTTGCCAAGAATTTGTTCATTTGTGCATTTGTGTGAGCTTGAGTGGCATGAAACATTCTGAAACATGGCTGTGGATCTGGATCCCGATCACCCTTAAGAAAGTTTAACTTCCTAAATTGTTTGATGCACTGTTTCAAACTAGCAGTGACAGACAAAAGAGTGCCCACACCTTTCTCGCTAATAATCCTCCCTCCAGTTGCTGTGTAGCGAAGGGTAGGATAAACAACTCTCCGACACAGCACATGGTCAAGAAACATTATACCCTTTGTTATGTGCTCAATAGGGAGGCTTTCATTGTCAAGCTTGAGCATGTATCTCTGATCAACAAACTCAATTAACTGCTTTCTCAATGTTGCTGCATCGGCCCTTGGCCCACGGACACCAATCAAAATATGACCTCCATATCGTACATAATCCATCTTCCTGGTCTTATCTGGCCCACTAGTTGGCACAAACTCTGGCCAAGATGTGTTTCCCTGTTCAGCTTCCCCTTCCGGGGTATTCCATATCACATCAGTCTTCGAAGGTCGATAAAACTCCTTAATCTTTCCCTCCATCCAACGGTCCAATTCATCAAGACATATATTAGCCAAAAGGGGGCTAAGAATTCCACAGTGCCCCCATGAAGGAAGCTTCTCTGCCTCTTCAGGAGCAAACCCAAAAAAGGCCTCTAACCAATAAGGGTCTGGCTTTGGCTCATCCTCTGCCAACACTTTCTTCTTCTGATTCTTTCTCTTCTTCTTTTTCTTCTTCTCTCCCTCATCAACCTGGCTCGTGATAACTGGTGTAACCAAAGCCAATTTCACCAAATCAATCACCTTCTTATCTCTCACATCCCTCATTAAAGCACTTATCACCAATCCCACCTTCATTCCATCCAAAACCGTACTCAAATCTCCTTTAATATACCACAAATACCCTGCAAAATTCCTCCTAATCACTCTCAACACTGTGTGCGCATTTCTCCCAGGCCTAAAAGCAAATGACTTTTGTGAAAATCTAGCCTCATATATCGGCTCTAAAATCATAAGCAAGACCTCCTGAACTATCTTATCTTGAAATGGGGCGGGTTGTGTTGTCGTCAATATTGCCTTAATCTTCCTCTTGGATAAAGATTCATATTCAGTCTTATCTTTAGGCGATTTAATGAAAAACTGTAACCTAGCACCCCATTTAAACCTATTATCAAGAACAGCATTCCTCAACCCCAACAAATCCTCTAATGCTGATTTCTGTACAGCACTACGAGGCATATACGCCCCCATCTCATCAGCACATACTTTTTGATAAGCTAATACCCACAACTCGAATCTACGGAGATAGGAGGTTAAATTGGTAACTATCCTATCAGGTTCCCGGAAATTCTCAATCCACATCTGCGAACAAACTGAGACGCCGTCTTCTTTCATCAGGTTTAAAGGGTCATCGGGATCCGATGTACGCCGTTGCACAGGAGAAAATGAAAGAAGGCGAAAAAATGAGAAACCATTTGGCCTAGGGTTTAGTGCGTTTGGTTGGTGACAGACAATAGAAATAGTATTGGAATTTGTGAGAATGTGATGAGTAAAAATGGTGAGGCGACGATACATGAGGAAATTTGGTGAAACTAATCAATCAATTTTTTTCTGGGTTTTCAATTAGATGAGATTCTATAATTACACACTGTATACCGTGTTGCATATTCAAGAACAAAGAGCACTTACTTGATATGAAATCGTTAGGTGAGATTTTAATCTTCCCTTTTGCGCTCTGAGCTCAGCTTGATGACTGGTTTTCAGAAAACCCTTGCTAAAACCCTGGTCTTCTGATTATAATTATTAATATTTATTTTCCAAGAAAAACCCTGGGAAATAGCCCAAACCCTTTGTTCTTCTGATTCTCGGATATTGTCTTGTGCCCTTCATCTTTGTTGTAATTATGTCTGTGTCCCATGACTTCATTGTTTTTGTTTTTCTTTTACTCCAAAAAAATTAAATAAGCATGATGTTAACCAGAGAGCCTACCAATCCACCCTCCATTCCTCTCCTTTGTTTCAGTCTCCACCCTCATTTTCCCTCTTAACCCAATCCAAACGTCTTTCAGCACTCACTCCTTCTCTCACAAACACAAACACAGAGAGAGCTTCAAACTCTCCATCAATGGCGTCTCTCCAGCAAACCCCAACGGCTCTCTCCCTCCAATCCAATCTCCTCTCCCCCTCCCTCCGCCTCCCCAAAAACCCATTCATTCTCAACCTCTCCGCCCCGCGCCGTAATTTCACCGGCGTCAAAATGTCCGCCACCGTTGCCGGAAGCTACGCCGCCGCCCTCGCCGACGTGGCCAAATCCAACAACACTCTCGACTCCACCAGCGCCGACATTGAAAAGATCGAGAAATTTTTCGCCGACAAATCGGTCTACGACTTCTTCGCCAACCCCACCATCGACCCGGAAAAGAAACGACAAGTCATCGACGAAATCTCCAAGTCCTCCGCGCTGCAGCCGCACACGGCGAACTTCTTGAACATTTTGATTGACTCCAAGAGAGTCGACGCGATCAAGGACATAGTGAAGGAGTTCGAGAAGGTATACAACAGCCTAACGGATACCGAATCGGCAGTGGTGAGCTCGGTGGTGCAGTTGGAGTCGGAGCACTTGGCGCAGATCGCGAAGCAGGTGCAGAAGCTGACCGGGGCAAAGAATGTGAGGATAAAGACGGTGATTGAGCCGAGTTTGGTGGCTGGTTTCACAATAAGGTACGGGAACGCTGGGTCGAAGCTGATTGATATGAGTGTGAAGAAGCAGCTGGAGGAGATCGCGGCGGAGCTCGATTTAGGAGATATTCAACTTGCTGTATGAGAAATTTGATGAAATTTATGAAGCTAAATTTGTATCACTTTTTTTTAAGATTTAATGTGAATTTTTTTTTTTTTTTTTTTTTATGTGGAAGTTGGATTTAAATTATGAGAATTATATTGTAATTCATGGAGAGAGCTTGGGATAAAATCTCTTGTTCTTGCATTACTTTGTAATTTAATGTAAAAGATTTTGGGGAGAATTTTTAAATGAATCGAAAATTGTGATTGCCCTTTCACTACCTAGCAAAATGAAATATCTCTGGAGATTGAAGAATATGTGGAGATAAGCAGAGCAATTGATATAAAATCTCCCTACTTTATGATAATCTTTTAAAATGGTTTTACACTTTTACCCAAATTGCTACCAATATTATTTTATATCAACCTTAACTTGCACAGATTATTTCAAATTCCTTATTTTATGATTCAACTTATATTATACAAACTTTTGCATTCAATTATCATACTTATTATTTTAGAATTTTCAAATTTTATTGCATTATATAATACAAACTTTTACATTCAGTTACACCTACAAATTTTTATGACAATTTTTTACACATATATTATTTCAAGATTCTTAATTTACATTGGTCATTATTTTTATTTAACCTGAATTTTATAATTTTATTTCCAATTATAATATTCTAAAGGATCAAAATACCTTTTTAATATTATAATTTGAATGAGACTAGACATGGCAAACGGGCGGGCTAGGTAGCCACGGGTCACGGGTGAAACGGGTACGGGTCCACGGGCCGATTTTTTCTACAAGTCACCCACATATAATGGCATTTTCTGTAATTTTTTTTCAAGTTTTTGTTATTTTTTCATTGTTTTTGTTATTCAAATTGCATACTTGAATATGTAAATTGTATTGATATAAAATTCTTTTATTAAGCTTGAATAACTTGGTTAATTATATTAAATAAATGGATGGTTAAATTAAATTTGATTAGATTTCACCAAACATCATTAATTCATTATTAATATTTTTCATATTTATATCAAACTTCACCATATAGAATTAGTAAACACTAAACACTAAACATACATAGTAATTACTAATTGGTAAACACTACAAACATAGAATTAGTAAACACTAAACACTAAACATACATAGTAATTACTAATTAGTAAACACTAAACATATAGAATTAGTAAACACTAAACACTAAACATACATAGTAATTACTAATTAGTAAACACTAAACATATAAAATTGTTCAACATTCAACATACATACATAGTAAACACTAAACAATTAAACATATAGAATTGTTCAACCAAACACACTAAACAAACAAAGTCTATTACACATTGACGGCGTTAGAAGCCACCCTTAATTCTGTAATCTCCTTCTCCGCTAGCGGCTTAATCGCAGAACAAAGCTAAGCATCATCAATTTCATCTTCTACAATTAATAAAATATAAGTTAACTATCGTAATATATTAACAAACTAAAATATTAAAACATGTAAAATATAAGTTAAAATGTTACCTTTAACTTCATATTTAGAAATCCATGTCTTGATGCATATCAAGGACTCTGCATTCTCTGGAAAAAGTGAACTTTGATATTTATTGAGCACTTTGCTACCAACATTGAAACTGGACTCCGAAGCAACAGTTGTTATTGGTATACTCATCACATCACGGCCATCATGGAAATTATTAGGTATCGATCACTATTTTACTTCCAATGGTCCAGGATATCCAGATTACAAAATTTGATGCGATCAAACCTTGCCTCTCTCAAATAAGTATCCAATTCAGACTTCTTAGTAGCACTAAAGTCACTCTCGTAGTAGTCAAATTTCTGCAACATTTAAATATTTAAATTTAATAAAGCAAAATTACAAAATAAGCAAAACCTTATTAATCACAAGAATATAAAAATATTTAGGGAGTAGTGACTTACACAGATATCATCTCCAAGGATATTAGGACTACTAATCTGTACCCAAGGATCGTTGGGAACCTCATTGCAACTTAGACCCTCATAAGCAGCAAAAAGCTTATACAACTCCTGCTTGACCAACTCCAACTTTCTTGATACAATTATTGAGCCATCAACTTTTTTGTAACAAAACTCAACAAACTTAAACTTGAAACGTGGGTCTAGAATTGCTGCAATTGCTAACACAACGCTATAAGAATCCCAATATTTGTCAAACGTTACTTTCATTTGACTTGTCATGATACTAACAACTTCATCCTCATTTTCCATCTCTTCGTATAAATGCACTTGAACTCTTCACACATTTCTGAGGTACAAGTTTGTTGTGGGGTATTAGGAACCCGAAAAAAGAGTAGTGATGTCATAAAATGGTTGCAAGAACTTGCAAATCCTCACCCCCCCCCCCCCCCCCTTCTCCCATTCTTCATCTGAAGAGACAACTTTTATAATTGGGATCTATCAGTGCAAATAACAAACACACGACAGTATATTAAACGCACTTTCAAGCTTAAATAGTGGAATTCCATCTTGTGGGAACATCCTTCGATCCTTTTGAACTTATCACACCAATTTATTTAACAAGTTCTTCAACTTGATTCTTTAGCCTCACTTCCTTTACATATTTCACACCTTTCATGAATCTATTGTAAAGCCACGCTACTACCTTAACACCCTTCTTGGACTATAGATTCAGATATGTACACATCGCACATGAAAAAGAACCATCACATAATAAAACATTTTGCACACAAAGTTGACTCCTTAAAATGTCTTCCATTTTATCATTGTTACTTGCATTGTCTAATGTAAGAGAGAAGACTTTCTTTTCAATCCCCCAATCTTTTAAGAAATCATACACTATGTTTGACAAAAGAGCCCCCGAGTGTGGAGGAGGAACATGGCAAAAATTCAGAATTATACTTTGTAACTCTCAGTTCTCATCAACATAGTGAGCCGTTAAAGAAATATACCCATCAGTAGTACAAGAACTCCAAATATCAGAAGCCAAGCATATTCTACCCGAAACCCTCTCTAAAGCAAGCTTAATCCTTTCCTTCTCCCTGTAATATATCTTTAAGCAATCCGCCTTAGCGGTGTTCCTGGTATAATGCTTAACTTCATGATTCAAATACATGTGGACATCCTTAATTCCTTCATGCTCAACTATTGAATATGGGTAATTATGTTTTATGATTCCTATTGCCATTTTCTCACGATAAATTTCTTGAGAAATCTTCAAACGTCTCAATTTAGTATCACAATCCATCATCATTTGATCTACACTACTAGTAATGGTACGTTTAGGATAACCTTCCATATGGCGCCTCATATTCTTAGTCACATGACTGGAACTACCATGTGCATAAGACTTACCACAAATTATACACTTTGCCCTTACCTCTCCATTATCTTATATATATATTGTAAATTGACCCCAAACATCTGAAACTTTACGTCTTTTTGGACAAATAGTACTACCACTAGAAGAAGGTTGACCTACGACTACATTACGAGCCATTTCTATTGTCTCATTAAACAAATATGTAGACTCCTCCATGCCAAGCCAATCTAAAGGACACAACAGAATATTTATATTTAAATTAATTAATCAATCATAACAATTCATCCAAAATAAAAACAAAACACTCTCATATATTTTACAAGCAAACCAACCTTACCAAATGGTTGGATTTTTCCAACTCAACACTCAACACTCCTCAACTCCAATAATTCAATGCTCACAAATCACAATGCAAATAATGATTCTAACATTAATAGAAATTTGAAATCATACAAAAACTCAATGTTCACAACTTACCAGTCACAATGCAAATAATGAATCAAAACTCAATTCTCACGGTGCAAATAATGGTAGTTAAATGTATTGTCTTGTTTGCCCAAAGCATTTGCCAACTTGGTGAAAACGTTTACCTTTGAGAGTGACAATTGTTGTTGAGAGTTAGGCGACGTCGAAGTGAGAGAGAGTGAGAGTGAGAGGAGAGCAAAAGCTGTCATTCATCGGCGTGACAGGGTGAGAGAGTTCAGACTAAGCTGAGAGTTGCGTCGAAGCAAAATAAGAGTGAGAGGAGACCTATAGTTGCTGTTGTTTAGTCGGCGATGGCCTGGGTTTGGGAGCTGCCGTTCGTTGGCGTGAGTGAGCGCGAGAAAGTTGAGACTGAGCTGAGAGTTGTCGGAGCAGAATGACAGTGAGATGAGAGCTACAGTTGATGTTGTTTCGTCGACGACGGCCTAGGTTTGGGAGCTGCTATTCGTCGGCAACAGTGAGCTCTGACCATTGCTGCGTGAATGAGCTGTGAGTGAGTGTGCTGATGTTGCGTGAGAGAAGAGAGTTGAGTGTGTACTCCTAGGTTTGAGAGCTACCGTTCGTCGGTGATAGCGAGCTTTGACAGTGGCTGCGTCCTGCGTGAGTNACTGTCCAACACTTAACCACTTGGACTTCTATTTGAAAACTAAAGTAATGCATTAAATTGAAGAAAACCCACTGTTATTGTCGTGGGGTGCATGTGCTAATTACAATATTGATTTACAACAAACCAATATGTGTAACTCATAACTGTCAAGAGGTAATTTAAAAACCAGCAAAATATTGGATAATACACTTGATGTGAGCGGCAAAGTTAACCTTGTGAGGATGCTAATTTGAGCATACTACCCTCTTCCAATCAGTTTATCACTGTTATAACTAGTAGGCCTAACCACTGTACCAAACCTCTGACAGTAAAATTCATTAAAATGGTTTAATTCTAGTACTAATGAATTTTCAAAAGATACCCTTGTTACAGAATGGTAGGTCCATCTCATTGGAATTGCTGGACAGATTCATGCTAATTTTTGAGTGGGTTGTTGCCCTTGTGTGCGTCTCTATCCACCAAAGATGGGGAAACTTTAGAATATAACCTTAAATCCCCAAGAGAAATTCTGAAAGCCTAATTTGACTAAATTAGTACCAGAAGTCTTATTCTCTAACTTGTATTCGCCAGTAAATTCTGGAGTCATTTCTTTGTCATGATCACATCAATAGGTTTAGATACTAAAATTCTGGAGTTGTTTCTTTGTCATGATCACATCAATTGGTTTCAGATAATGATTTAATGTGTAGTTTGACTTGTAGATAGCTTGAAATTCTTAATAGGATCTAAACATGGAATTATAGGTTTTGTAAGTTAAATGTTTTTGAAGAATTAAACTGTTCAGTTCTATCTTTTTTGATTGTGTGTGATACTGGGCTTGTCAGGAGATTAAATTATGGTTGATTTTGATTCAAATACGTAAATCTGAGCACTGTGATTTAATAAGCATAGTCTTGATAAAATTTGACTTAAATATGCATATTTACGTGCCTAGCTTATTTTATTTAATCAATTCAGAAATTGGACAAGTTGTGGCAGACTTGAAATCTATAATTTGAACTACCAAATTATCAGATTAGAATTAATTTTTTGAATTCATTGGAAATTTATCTTTGTACATTGAAGAAATCTGATTTCATTTAGAAGTGAATTGCTCACTATCTTAGGATTTCTATGATTACATCACTACTCACCAAACACATTTGCTTAATTCTGGCCTCAGGGACAATATAAATCAACACTGGTTTGTCCTGTTTGCAAGAAGGTTTCTACTACCTTTGATCCATTCATGTACCTGTCGCTACCTCTACCATCAACAACAATGCGGGCAATGACTTTAACAGTACTGAGTACTGATGGAAATGCTAAGCCGTCTCCATATACCATTACTGTCCCTAAGTATGGAAAGTTTGAAGATCTTATTAGGGCTCTAAGTGTTGCATGTTCCTTAGGGGTTGATGAGACATTACTAGTTGCTGAGGTATATATATCTCAATGTGTTAGATAACCTCCTAGTAGATATGTTGAGAATGTTCGTATTTTCAAATTTGATCTCTAAAAATATATAGTTTTATACAGATTTACAACAACCGCATTATACGTTATCTAGAGGAGCCTGCTGATTCTTTATCCTTAATCAGAGATGATGACCAACTGGTTGCTTATAGGTTGAGGAAAGATAGTAACAAAGATCTTTTGGTTGTTTTTATGCACCAGCAGATTGAGGAGTAAGTTTGTTTATATACTTCGTCACATATTCAGTATGCTGGGTTTCTTCTTACAAATTTTATGTACAAAAATATAGCAGTATGTATGCAAGTGCATGTATGAGGTGATCATTGTTGTCCATGAAGTTGCTACATTTATGTTTATTAAGTTACTTTGTTCTTAAGAATATCTATAAATATTATTCTGTAACACCAATACCCTGCTCTCTAATTTATTTTGTGATGTCTATCAGGCAGTGCATCCCTGAGAAACTGACTTCAGGCTTGAAGGCTTTAGGAATACCTCTTGTAGCTAAAATTTGCAATTCAGTTAATGGATTTGATATCCACAATCTGTATCTAAAGTTGCTTAATTCATTCCGTATACCTGCTGGAGATTGTAATGATAATGATGCCTCTGGGAACACTGCAGCTGAAGAACTTAGACAGATGGAGAATACAAGAAGTGAGGATGCAATAACTTCTCTCACAGATGGGGAAGCAACTACTCCACCAGACATGAAAGTGGTTGATTCAACTTCAGATGCTGAACTACAGTTTTACTTGTCAGATGAGAAGGGAATGATCAAGCACCTAAAAATAGTAATGAATGAGCCAGTGGAAGTGACAGGTGAACCTGGGCGGTTGTATGTGCTTGTAAGTTGGCCAGAAAAAGTTATTGAACAATATGATACAAGACTCCTCAGTACTTTGCCTGAAATTTTCAAGTCTGGTTTTCTTGCAAAGAGACCTCAGGAGTCTGTTTCTCTGTACAAGTGTCTTGAAGCTTTCTTGATGGAGGAACCTCTTGGACCGGAAGACATGTGGTCAGTGTCTAGATCATTACCTTTAATTCTAGCCTAAGAAATATTTTTTGCATTGTATGTAGACCTACAAAGTTTCACATGAAATATAGGAGTTCAGATATTCTGAACAATAAGTGGTTAATTCTGGTTCTCTGTTAAGTTCTATTCTTAATACTTTCCTTGTATTCTGCTTAATGTCGTGAAACAGAACTTTGCGTTGAGTTAAAGTTTGCATGAAGATTTTGTTTGTTATTTGTTTACTGTTAGTATATATGGGAAGTGCTAAATTTATATATATAAGTTCACTTTAAAGGTTTACTTGTGAGCATGGCTTATCATCCTTAAATAAGGTACCTTTGCTAGTGGTTAATCTTGTGTGCCTAAACTATTGGTCTATCAAACTTGTCTTTTCATAGATTAATTTAAAATTTGTGGGACTGCAATGGATTGAATTGATAAGTTCTTGTGGTATAAGATCTGTGATTTTCTCCTTGATGATATATCTAAAGTTTTGTATACTTTCTAGCTTCTTTGCCTGTCATTTGTCTTTCTAATGTTTGGTACTTTTGTGTTATCTTTAGGTATTGTCCTGGCTGCAAAAATCACCGGCAAGCCAGTAAAAAGTTAGATCTTTGGAGACTACCAGAGATTCTGGTTATTCATTTAAAAAGATTCTCATACAGCCGGTTCTTGAAGAACAAACTAGAGACATATGTTGACTTCCCGATCGATAATCTTGATTTGTCAACATACGTTGCTCACAAGAATGGCAAGCTATCTAATCAGTATATGCTTTATGCTGTTAGTAATCACTACGGAAGCATGGGAGGTGGTCATTACACTGCTTTTGTTCATGTAAGTTGGGTTATCTTCTTGGTTTTTTTTTTTTTTTTTTTTTAGCTGAATCTCGCTCTTTTAAGGACGCTTCTTTTGAGTAGCAAAGGGATAATAACAATAACCCCTTGAGGCTTGCTCTACTAACAATTATTTCCCCGTGGGTTCAAGAATATCATAAACTACTGTCTTGTTAGCTATGGTTTAGACAGACTTCAAAATGTCGTATATACCCTTGTCTCTCTCGGAGAGACCAAGGAAAAGTAAAATATTTATTAATTTTTCATGTCATAAAGATTTTATAGTAGAAAATTAAGACTGTGTTTGTTTTATTATTTGGATTAGTATTTTTTGAAAAAGTTAAGTTGGTTGTTATTACGAGGTAGGATTTGAAAATTGATAAAAACACCCCCAACATTAAAAAGTTTATAAATTGACAAAAACACCCCCACCCACCTACATTTGCCAGATTCCGGCAACCACCGTCGAAAGGTGGTTGGAATCTGACGTAATGGTACATGATCGGCTGGATCTGGCCAGTCGTGCGCTGATATAGCATTTTTCTGCCAAATCCACCATGGATATGGCCGAAAAAGGCCAAATCTATGGCTAGATTTGGCCATGGCTGTTGTTGACAACCAGATGTGGCCAAAGATCTACCTTTTTCTGGCCAAATTCGCAGTGGGTTTGGCCAGAAAAGGTCAGATCGGCGCACTATCGGTTAGATCCAGTTGGTAGTGTGCTATTACGTTAGATTCCAACCACTTTCCGACAGTGATGGCTGGAATCTGGCAAATGTGGGTGGGTGGGGGTGTTTTTGTCAATTTATAAACTTTTTTTGTTGGGGGTGTTTAGTTAAATTAACAAACCTACGGGGGTTTAAATAGTTGAATATAATAGGATTGAATTTTGAGAATAGAGAAACAAATATGCATTTTGGGTAGGATAGGGTAAAAAAAGTAAAACAAACAGGCCCTAATACTCTTAACAGGATTTTTTTGGAGTTTCATCAAACACCTTACAAAGACTATTAGACATTTAAGATTTAAAGTATCATCTATATATTTAGTGTTTTATTATAAGTTCTGATGTCATATTAAAGATAAAATCCCATGAAAGGAATAGCATGTATTAATACTCAACCTGCTGCTAAATAAGGAAAAAACAGTAGACTTAAAAATGGTAAACAAGCAGAGCAGATATTGTGATTAACCTCATGATGATATTTCTTTATCATCTCAAGTATGCCACATCTCATTAGCTCATTTTCTTCGAGCTCAGTAGCATGCAACAGTTTCTACTCTGTTTCTTTGAGGCATGCAGCTACGTTGCCGGCTCTTATGCCTTTGCAGCTCTTCTTCCTTCCTCACCTCTCACTCCTTTTATTTAACTTCTGTCATGCTCTTTCAGGTCATATTGCCTCAAATTTTCTGTTCATTTTATTCTCCTTTGCCATCTATAATTGATGGATTGATCAATTGATTGTGCATTTTTGTACAATTTAGACAAGATGTGAGGATTAGAGAGTATTTGCTGGTTTTGAGCTTTGTTAAGGTAGGCAAAAGAAATCCAGGGGGTGAGATATTATTTTCAAACTAACACCGTAAAAATAAAATAAAAAGTTAAAAAAAAAGAAAGAAAATAAATCGTTTTTACTTCATTTTCAAATTTGCTAAATTGAAGGATCTTGATTGCATGCACCATGTTTGTATTATTGTGGTATCGTTTTGTGAGATTTGCTGTGTGTTTTTTCCATTCATGCATCAGCAGGGAGATCTTTATTCTCTACTCTCTTAGTTATGCATTATTTAATGTGGTCGTTTTATATGATGGTCTCATTGATACAGATTATGGGGATAGTATTAGTCTATGCTTTCCAATGTTCCCTAAGATCTGATTTATCTTCTTATCAATGTCTAAGTGCCATGCTATCCTTCTGCTGTTTAATTTAATATAATCTTACTGATGTAAATGGTGGTTAGTGTTAATTTTGAAACTACAAGGATTTATTGGTGGTTGGAGCAAACTTCAGGACTGTGATTTGACCTTTTTTTTTTTAAAGTTTATTTTAAAATATGTTAGTCTATACTTCATCATTTTAAATTGGTGGCAACTTTACTGGTCTATGTGGTTGTATGCATCAATTCGACCTCCATGGGTTAATGTGCTGCATGACTATTTGGGCTGTTTTTAGGTGCTATTTCCGAAGTGTTATCACAAAGCCAGTCATATATGATAGTACTTGCACAAATATGAATGAGTAGACTCTTCTATTGTTTTTCATGATATGTTGCAACCTGGCTTTAATGAACTGTATGAACTATGGATTAACAGTTATGCTGTTGATAGAAATTGATAGTACTGATCAACTTACTTTCACCTGGTTTTAATATTTATTCAAGTATTTTGTGCGTGGAAATGCAAGAAACAATTCTTAGAGGCCTCGAGCCAGAAAATCTATTACTTGATCCAATAGTTGCTAAAGAGGACTTGTCTGCCTTGTCACTTCACACTTTGACTGCGTAAACAGTTTTTATCCCTGTAGGAATTTTGCTCATTTAGCTTTACTTAAGTGCATTTCTATTTCTGGCGTGTTGGACATTTAAATATGATCTTCCATTATAGCTAGCAGCAGAAGTTGTGAAGACATCAACTACGAATTTGATTTGTGGTCAGTGTCAGTGCAATACAAATATGTTGGCAGAGAGTGTGAGAAGGCGTGTGTGTATATGTATAATCATACTTTGATGAAGTAGGAGGGATTTTTCCTCATATGATATACGGTTAAGTGGCACAGTTGGGTTATTAATTGTAATTTTTTTTCCTGATGTAGCATGGGGGTGATCGATGGTACGACTTTGATGATAGCCATGTATCTCCAATCAGTCAGGACAAGATAAAGACTTCAGCTGCTTACGTTCTTTTCTACAGAAGAGTTGTGGAAGAATAGAGTTGTTAATTTGTGAAAATCCATATTGAAGCTTGAAGAAATTAGCATTTTTGTTGTGTTAAGTATTACAAATATCATATCATAATTTTTCCGTCTGGTCACAATTTTTTGTTTACATCTACAGTATCGAGGATGGATGATGGTGGGGAGAATCGAAAAGGTCAGAATAGGTATAGGTGTGGAACATAACTGTATCATAGTGACAACTGAAGAGGACGTGTAACCATATGAAAAAGAAAAGTTTAGATAGTTGGGTTGCTTTCAACCCCCATTACATTATATTCTTTATTAATTCCGTTACGACGCTTGAGTGAAGAAATTGAATTTCACTGACTAGATGCTGTTGATACATTAACTAACATTTATCATTATTATTTTTCATATTACCATTTTATATATATATATATGAAGATAGATGTGACACTGCCCCATTTAATTTCACTTCTCCAGAGCAGTAGGGACCAAGGTGAAGCTGAATTCATAGCTTGGACCAAATGTCGATACGGGTAGAAATCCTTTGACTCCAAATCTTCATTTATGGGCTTTAGATAATCCAGTAAGTAAAAGGATTTTCTACATTTTAACATGAAAGTAAGTTTAGCATGATAAGATTGAAGAAATCTTTAAGTTGATGATGTTGGTAAATATTAGGGGTGGTGGACCACTTAATTTGCATTTCCTTTTTAGTGTAAGATGTGACTTGACCATGTTGATTGTTGTTGTAGTACCATAGTACATGAGCCCCAGTTGATGAGTGGACCACTATTTACTTGGTTCACATTCTGCTCAAATTTCTGTGGCTCCCTTCTCTTTCTCTCCTCCACATTAATTACTTACATCTTAACCTTACAAAATGAGATGCCCACCAAGTAATATATTGTTTTACACAAAACCCCTCTTATCATTAATTAAGTTGTTATATTTGATTTTTCCATCTCTTTATCATGTTTGATGTGGGGGCCCTGGTTTTTTGAACTTTCTCAGCGCATGTTAGAGACAGGAAGTCATCGATCTATACAAATATATGTGAATGTAATCCTTTTCCAAGACAATAAGAAAAAGAAGAAACCTTTTTTTTTTCTTATTGTCTATACAAATATATGTGAATGTAATCCTTTTTTTAACTACTATTATTTTATCATACCCAAGAGGGATTAATGTCTACAAATTGGTAAATTGACTAACTAAAAAAATTACAACCCCAAAGAAAATGTATGTAGATATACTATTGGAAATCTGAAAGCATTAAGGTAGTTATAGGTTGGGTGAAATAATCAGAAGAAAATCTTGTGGGTACAAAAGAAGATTAGTGCAATTAATGTATTTAATTAAATATATCATTTATTGGAATAGGAAGAGATCAGGTGGTTTTTCTTAGAGATGGGGTTTTCCTTGTTCTAGAAAAAAGTTGATTCCTTTAGTTATACACCATTTAACGCCCAAACGTTTTGCAGGATCTAACAAAGGAGGTGAAATTGTTGTTAAGAAGTCATAATCTAAAAGGTAACTAGCATGCATCATAGTTACTTGTGGTAACATTAATATTTAAAATGTGACATTTTATCATGTTACAACTCTATTAATTACTAGTACTAGTCTATGGTTGGCAAACTAGATGATGTCTATTGCATTCTTTTTTTAGTTTAACATCACTTCTTACAATACAAATATAATTTTGATCTTATTCGGATGTTTTGAGTTTTTAAAGATTTGATGATATGTGTATTCGTTTTTCTCATGGAAAAGCACAATCTTTCACTATTTATATACATAACATGTTTAATATTTATAGTGAATTGATAAAAAAAAAATTATTAAAATTGAAAAAATTACATTGGATAGTTGACAAGTGGCATGAAAAGCAAGTATTAGTTGAAAAGAGAGACAATGTTAAATGCATTTCTCATATTGATAACAATTAATGTGTTATTTCATAATGTGTTTCTCGTGTGATAATGAGTTCTCAATCTCTAAATTCACTAGTAAGCATGCTATTAAAGCAATATTCTACTCTCCAAATATTTTTCTCTATTTGTTCATCATTATTATATATATATATATCCGAGAATGTCCGGGTCAACTTGCGTGAATCTCAACTATTCCCTTGAGACCTTGAAGTTAACGGTCAGACAAGTTTTCAGTGCCTACCTTTTATTAGCAGTCGTGGAAATTCATCATTATTAAATTTTGCGATATGTTCTAACTTATTCTTGCTGTAATTAGTTCTATTTCCTTTCAAAAAAATGACACCCGTTTGACTTAAATTTCTCTTCTCCGAATTTTATTCACAACTTACAACACTGCATTGAGTTATTAATTCAATATGCAGTGAAAATTTAATTACATCTATAGCATCATAACTTAATTTTGTTACATATATGTATGACTTTAATAAGGTTTTTGCAAATATTTTATTTCAATTCTGTGATATTTTCAGAAATAATTTGTCCATATATTTTTATTTGTCTTGCATGCAAAAAATTAAAATGGGTTTTCTTTATCTTTAATCATATGGTAATTATAATCCCTTCTTATCTTATTATTAAATCATAACGGAGTATTAGGTACCTACTCTTTTTATTTTATTTTCTATAAATCAGAAATTTAATATTTAATAGGACCGACATCCCATGTGTAGCAGGGAGAGAAATAAATCCAGTAGTTGATTTAAATATCATTTGAAAAAGAATGACATGAATTTGGAACGACATGAAGAAGAAGTAGATTTACCAAAAAAGAAAATCTAGAAATTGGATTCATTGCATTTAAATCTACCAATATCATATCATAATAATGCATGTGAACCTCTTGTTGTGTCATTTCATTATGCATTTTAGTTTCCTACTAACCAACTATTTTAATTTTGTTTATCTTCATGTAAATTCTTTGCCCTTTGAATTTCTCATTTAACTTTATCATGAATTTATTTCTGTTTATGACTTTACATATAGAATTTATTCCTGTATAAAAACTATCATATCTTAGCACAATTTAAAATAATAATAATAAAATATACATCAATTCCTTCTCAATTATAGGGTGAGAAGATTTGTGTTGGGGGCCAGCAAATTTGAATAATGAAATGGGGGTACATGATTTGATCGATGAAGAATGTATATCTGATTTTGCACAAAACCTAAAAGTAATTGGAATCCAAAATTGATTCATAATAAAAAATTATATAAATCTTCTCCATGTCTTTGTTTGACTAGCGATATACAGTCAAGTCAAAGCAACGATAGGATGTAACTCCACTTGAGCTCCCAGTTAATAGATGAGTGGGCACGTCATATCAATTCATATATATATATATATAGCTTTTCTTTCTCTTTCCCTAATCGTATGATCCTTTTGAAATGAACTCATTTTCACCCATCACTTCCACCAATAAACTCTATAGTTTCTTCCCCCCCCCCCCCACCCCACATTAATTAAAGTATTAAGACAATAGAAGAGTCCCTCACGATTACAAAGATAATAAAGAAACAATAGTTAATTATAGGCATATGAATATAAAGGAATGTTTTTATTGAAGAAGTTTTGCATGTAATTTATGTGTAATGTGGACAAAGATTATTAAATTTACTGTCTTTATGCAATCATAGAAATATGTACTTGGAAGTTATAAAAAAATGAAATGAAATGAAAAAGGGTTGATCAAAATCAAATAATAAATACATAAGCTTGAATATTATATGAAGGATGAAAAGATGGTTCATGAGTCAAGTGTCCCATCATAAAGAATCTAATAAATTAGGTAGCTTAATTGTTACCTATCAATTACGCAACACATGAATGAATACAAGATAAAGACACTAGTAGAAGACAAACTCATTAGGTTTCAATTAAAAACTTGAAAGAAAAAAAAAAAAGTGGGGTACAGAAGTGGGGAAGTAATAATAATAATGGATTATGAAAGTATTGAAATTGGAAAGGAGAAAAGGTAATGTCACTAGCAATGTCTGAGACTGAGACTGAGACTGTGAAGGAGCAGAGAGGGAGAGGGAGAGGGGGTTATTATAAGTAGTGACATGACAGCCCAATCTATAAAGTAAATAAATCAACCACTCTGACTCACTCACTTCCAAATTTCCAACTGCATGATTTGACATTACAGATTCTCTTCTCTCATCCCCCATCCCACCAGACAAAACTATTTTTATATATCTTCTTTTTCTTTACTTTACTTTATTATAAACCCCATTCTATTCACATATACATAATACAATACAAAACTAGGGATTTTATTGGAGGAGAGTAGATTGTACGAAGCATATATGCCAATTGCGGTTATATCATGAATGAACTGGAGGACCCATATAAATATCCAACTCTATATCTCTGAAAGTTAATATCAACGGTAGATATTAAAATGATCAAAGAGGATGCCCCTAACCCTAATTTAGATGAAAGGGTAACTAGGGTTTGATTACAATGTCAGCATGACAGTTGATGTCAGTACAAAAGGTAATTAATATGCATTGAGAGTTGACAGACCTGCGTAAAATGCAACTCATTAAGCAAACCCATTAACCAAACTTATAACTTTCGTTAAAATTTCTTCGCAAAATAGTTAGAATGTGACTTAATGTCTTATCTTCACCCACCGTAAGAGCTACAAGTTGTGGCATGGCCTCAGAGAATTTGTCTTGTATCTTTCTTTTTATGACTTTTCCTTACAACTAGAAGTTATATGGTCATAATCACTTGAAATTTTATGATTACAGCTGTGAGTAATCTTTGTATAATTGGCACACAAAGATGAAGAATAAAATTATATATATGTGGATCATAAAAGAAAAAGGAAGTGAACGTATGTATTGTATAGTCAATGCATGAGCTGTGAAGAATATTTGTAGCAGGCCAACCTAAGCATTATAAAAAGTTAAATTTGTTTATCCCAAGGTTTCTTTTTACTGTCCTCTCATCAATGATTTTTCTCGTTTCCTGTTTTTAATTAATATTAATAAAACCGATAGCAGCAATGGGGTTCAGTCCTGACCTTGGTAAGTGAACACATCAAACTAGAATATTAATTGCTTTTATATATATATATTTCTCAAATGGTTGGATAAACAAAAAAACCCTGATAATAATGAAGGGTTCCTATAATATCATCAGAATTTTGAAAAGCTGAATTTGCATAAATTGAAAGAAAGAAATTAGAAGATATATATATATAGATGGGGTGAATAATCCATTGAGTGGAGCACCGAATCATGGAATGTGATATTGGTAAAGTGGTCCTCTTTAATTACACAGTAGACAAGGTGGCTGTCCATTTTGTCCTCTGTGGAATTGGAAGATGAAGAGAGAGAGATAGAGATTACCAAAATTGAGATGAAAACAGATGCACATCATTCTATAGAATGTATTCACTTAAAATAACACCAACTTATAACATTTATATTAAATCCAATCATCACTGGAATAGAAATCACTTATTTAAGTGTTAGAGGAATTGAACTTACAACACACATAACAAATTCACGAAGGTTTTCAACATGCATGTCATCCTATTTGGTTATATTAGGAGACTTCTTCATCAACCTCATCATTCTTCTTCAACTCTTCAGTAATTCTAAATACAAATAACTTCATTGCTACTACTCACACTCACAGGACACATTTACTTTTTAGTAGAATCCATTAGACTTTTGAGTGCCCTCTGCTAATGCCTGGTCCAATTTTCCTTGTTTGTTGCCATCCAGCTTTAGTCCAAAGTGAATATGAGGAAAATGTGCCCACTGCACAACATAAAATCATTTTTTGTAAGCCTTTAATTTTCTTTTGGTCAATCAACACTTGATTTGAGTATTGAAGATATTACACTGAACAGGGAGCTAATACAAACCAACAAACAAAGAAACAAAAAAAAGTTCCTCTTCAGCACACATGAAAAATAATAAGGGTTAATTATTAACAAACACTATAGCTTTAGTCTTTTAACACAAAAATGAATGTCCAAATTGGAATCATGAACATTTTGAAAATAATTTTTTACAACACATGATTATACCGTAATAATAGATATATATATTTCAGTGCGACATATTCCATTAGACACAGAATTTAACAGTTTCTTGGTCATTGTGTCATATATATATATATATATATATGAGAGATAATTTATATACACATTGCTTAATATTCAGTAGGGGATAATAACCTGCCTTCTCTAATCCAAATAGGACAAATCAATACGTATTATCAGATTATTGTGTCTGCACATCAATTAGATTCCGAACCTTTTGTGTTGTAGTCTACTTCTCCCTGAACTTTTATTCAATGAATCACCTTCCAAGTTTGGTAGAGGGAATTGCATCATATTATAATTAATTATTATTTAAAAAAAAAAAAATAGAGGTAAAGAAAGTGTTGAAGAGTGTTTAAACCCAACAATTAAAGTGGGAGTTATATGCTCCAGCGTATATCTCCAAGGTGCAAAGAAAATTAATTTATGACTTTGTGAACATTAATTTTCATCACATATGCATTCATGTAGACCAAAGACATATGCTTTATTTGTTAAGTTATAAGTTAGAAGCAACATAGACAAAATATATTGTTTAAACTTTGTAAATCGATCTAGTGGAATACATTTCTTAGAACAAACAGGATCCTAAAATATTATGATGATGATTAAGTTTAAGTTGCATTCAAGTTAAAGTAGTTTAAATTAGAAGAAGGGTAAAACCTCTTGTTTTTAATTAATGAGAAAACCCCTACACTAGTACCTTACTTTCCTAATTAAGATAACATTAAATTCCATTTAAAATAAATTAGCTTCACAGCCTCATCTTGGTAGATTTTATATAGGACTATTTAAGGAAAAACAAGGGATCAACCACTTCAACTAATTTTTCGTCCGACCAATGATTAGATTTACAAGGTCATTAACTCTCCTTTCATAATTGTTTTAGCATCCTAATAAACCACATAACTCTCCAATGACAAAATGTATTTTTCAAAAGTTCAATTTACAACAAGACAAAAACAATTAATAAAAAGTTAACAAAAATGCATAAACTATTATGAGAATGGATATGTATAATGTTAGCATCGCTTACATTTTTGGCCGCTGTGCTGAAAGCTTCCCTATGGCTGATGTCTGGATTACTAGCCTTAATCCTTTGGATTTCCTCCCTGCAAAATAAGAAATCAACAATGATATATATAAAGAACACTTTATATATATATAGAAGAAAGACTGAAACATCAGATTTTAAACTAATAAAAGCAAAAAAGGATTTTTCTTACTTGATAAACCTGTTGTATGCAGAAGGAACTCGTTGTCTCTTCTCTGGGGCTGCATTATTCATGACTAGTCAGAATCAAGTAAACTTAATTATCTCTAAAAATATAAGAAATATGCTATTAATGTAATTGAACCTAGAGGTGTTAGACTGTGTTGGATGAATGAACATTATTGAATGACTGTAAAGTTGACAGGTTACAAATCAAGTAGAGGGCTTATTACTAATTTTGCAGTGTAGAGGGCTCAGGATAATGACCATGTACTATTTCCAATACGTCATATAAATAACTAAGAGTCTGTAACATTCCGTCCGCAAAAATTTCTGGCTTTACTGCTCTTAGAGCTTTAGGCAATTCAGACCCCAGTTACTCTATAAGGTACATTGTTATGTTATTTCAATGATGATGCAAATGAAACCTATAGCTAAAACCCACACAATCGAAATGGAAGCCTAGTTTTCTGTATTAGCAACCAGATTTAGGCTCTGTGCATTACTGCAATCTTCAATATAGGCCATAGAAACTGATTCAATTTTCATGGCAAAAATATTATTAACATGCATGGTGTAAATAAATGAGTGAAAATATGTGACAAGGTATTGTATGGTAATTAATATTTGTTGGTATGATGTTTGATTGCACTGTCAATAAATAATTAATAATGAGTGAAATTTATTATGTAAAGTCACCATCTTGGATGGGCCCTATATGAGTGTGAGAAAAAACTGGGATGCTCATCTAGCTAATGAAGATTGAATTGCTGATGAAGTGATTCTATCTTCTTGCTTATTTACTGTTGCCAGTTGTGTAGAGACACTTTTTTCAGAGTTTCCATATGTCTATCATAAATTAAGTATATTTAGTTGGTTATGCATTTAACCTTTGGTTCCGGGTAATAAAATGTGCTACAAACAACTATAACATATACATTCATACAAACAAAAAGTTGTGATTTTTATAAAGAGATGTGAACCAGAAAAATGGCATATACATGTATTTCACGGTAAGAGAGAGAGAGAGAGAGAGACTGACGGCGAATGGGTGGCATTCGAGGTGTTTCACGCTCAGCAGACTCAAATGTAGATAACTTATTGCATTTCGATGACGACCCACATTCCTTATTTGAATGATCTTCACCGTATATTTGTTGTTTCTGCAACTTCTCTCGAACCAAAAAACAAGTAAAACGTCAATCAATTCCTTGATTTTTTGCCCAGGATCTAAGCTTTTAAATCAGAACAAGTCATAATATTGATTTAGCTATAAGAACTTGAGGCTAAGAAGAATCTCAATTACCTGAGGATCTTGAATAGGCAGTGTTTGAAGTGAAGATCCCGTGTTTACAGATAGCAAATTGGCACAGTGTCCGCATCTCACCGTTACAATGTTAAACAAACTTGTGCAAGGAACACTTACCTGCAACCAAAATGCATTTTTATGGAATATAAATTAATCAATACTAATCAACTTCAAATAAAAATGCTGCAATCTATCATATTTTGATTTGATACTTAATTACAGTCAAAATTGAACCCAAAATGTTTCAATCAGAAGTTTTTTAGTCACACCATCTTCAAACCCTACCACAGGAATTTAATGAACTTTACATGAACAGTACCACTGGGAAGGATCATTAACTTAAGCCTCAGATCTGGCTTTTCTTATTACAAAAATAAAAACAGATTAAATAAAACTATAACCCAGACGTACTTACAGAAACTCAATGGCTCCATCAAACTAACTAAACACCATTTTTTTTTTTCTTTGATAAGAAAACCTTATTGTTAGTTATATAGAGCCGAACATGAGAACCCAAAAGAAGGAAAAGAACAAGGATGAATATATGTGTATTGTGTTGATATATAATGTATTTTGTGGGAGTTGTTTGGATTATTGTTTGTAGTGTCTTCTAAGTAAAAAAAATGGAAGTCAACTAATAGAGTAGAAGAGCAAAGAGCTCACATGCGTAATAATTATAAGGATTTTCTTAATTAAAATTCCTTTATTATTTGCTCTCAATATAGTTTCTCTCCTTTCGGTGCGCCTGACTTTTGTGGCTGACACAGAAGAAAGATGATAAAAGAAAGAAAAATAAGCCGAGAGAGAGAAGAAAAGGACGTGACTGGAACGGAAACCATAATAGCCATCACCAGTAACCACAGAAATCTAGATCGCCATGAATAAAGAAAGGATAGGCATCATAAATCATCACTGATTTACTGATCTTTGTGCAGCATTACTACACTGTTTAGGATCTCCATTACTTTTCCTTTTTATTTTCAGAAGAACCCATCTCATCATAAAAAGGAACCACTATCATTCGCTATATGGCTTGGCTTGGTCTTGATTTCTCGTTTACTTAGCTCTCTTTTCTAAAGAAAGAAAAATATTTTACTTGCAGAAAAAAACCAAACCTCGAACTGTTGAAGAAAGAAAAAACATGGTGATATTTGTAATCACATGAAAGAGTTGTATCACATGAAATTTTTGGTGAGAAGTTGCGATCGGAAATACGGACAAGTAGATGATTTAATTACGAATTAAAAGGGAAAAGAATTTTTTTTTTTTTTAAAAAAAAAAGCACAGTGATGGGCTTGTTTATGGAGAATATTAGCTTGTAGCAAGAGACATGAAACACTGTAAAAGTTCTGCAAACCTAAGAAGAAAAGCTTTATGAGCTTGACTGGTATCATAAATGAGAAGAACCCTAATATTGCCCTTGTCATCAACGGGATTGTTATATTGATATCTTGAACTGTTTAAACCAAAACTTCTTTTGCTTTGTTAGAGGAATCAATCATCAAAGACTTGAAAACTAATGGACTGCAATCAAACTCATAAACTCCCAATTCTCATCCATGTCTGAAGCTACATAAGCTTCTCCAACTAAATAGGATTTTGATCCATGTTGGAACTCTTTGGAACAAAAACCAGGTATAATTTCTCATAAAATATTGGCATAAGAGAGGAATTTTTGTTAACTATTTATAAGTAAAATCAAGAAATCTGCGATCCATGATGTTTCAAGGGGAATTTTGCCAGAAAAAAAGTACATTTTACAAATTGGTTTACAGTTTGTTTCCACAAACGAAACTTTTTTTTGGTATATTTGTGCACGTTCTTTGAGTTGAATTCCACTTTATTCTCCCACAAACCAAATCACAGTTCTCCCAAAAAAGGCTTACTGTCACTGCTGAACAAAATTGTGATGGTGAATTTGAGGTGTAGAATTAAAAAGCAAAGATGGCTTTCATGGAAAGAGGAAAAGAAGATGCATGTATGTAAAGATAAAAACTAAAAAAAAAAAAAAAGGAATTAAGTAGAGTACCGCTAAGATGGTGTTGCAGAAGTTGCAGTGAACATAACAAACGCGTTCAGACGAAGTCAAGTCCATTGACATAATTGAGAGGTAACGAAAAGAAAAGAAAAAAAAATGTCTCCAGATCAAGAAGGTGAAGAAAAAAGAAAGAGTAGTAATGGTATATAGATAAATGGAATTCGATTAGAGAAGTGTACAAAAATCTGAAAGGACGAGCGTGGTCGGGTGAGAGAAGTGAAGTGGGAAATTAAAGTGGGGAAGGGGGGGTAGTGGGTGTTTTTGTTGTAATGTGGGAGAGAGAGAAATGGGTTAATAATAATGTTTTATGATTGAGAGAATGAGTGGGTGGGAGTCATCCATCTCTAACCATTCTAGCTTTCTGTAGCGGACGAGGGGGGCGAGATATTAATGCTTTCGAATGTTTAGGGATGTGAGATGAGACACCCAATTTTATTACCAATTTCAATAATACAAATGTTTACTTTTTCCAAAGAGATCATTACTGTTAATGACTCAAACTAATTATCCTCCAATAGAGTAATGTTTTATATATATATATATATGTATGAACTAATTATACCAAGTATTCCTTATAAGAGAAATACTTATTGGGTCGACAATCTCATCATCTTATTTGATTAATGTGGTGAGATCTTTTAATGTTATAATGACATGTGTTACTACATATTTCTCAAATTTTCTCATTCATCCACTTATTCATTATCCTTTGTGAATAACCATCACCATAAGAGGCGGTTGTCAAAATTAGCAATACGTGCTTTTGTTTTATTGAATGGTCTCTCTATGAAGTGGTGAGATGATCCAATTTAAGTTTTTCTATTCCTCACAAATGAACTTGTGTATATCTAATATTATTCTTTGTAAGTTTATACCTATATATTGATTTCCCCACTAATATTTATTTATTTTCAATTAACAGCTGGGATGTATAGTCAATTTTCTTTTTTAACTCTTTAACTTTTGTTTTTTCTTTATTCAATTCCAATTACATGCATTGATTGATTAAAACATCTTAACACACTAAGCCCTATTGACAGTTGAAGGTACAAGTTCTCCGGGTCTTTTGTTCATTACTTCATTAGTTATGTGGTTAGTGAGTAACAATCAAAATTAATTATAAAGTTAGCAGTGGTTGTTTTGTTACGCCGTTAAAATTATTTTTCAAGTTGTTTAATTTCATTACCTTGTAGGTACATAGACCTTATTAGCGTGTAAATAAATTTTTTTCTCATTAAAAACAAAGTATTCTTAGTTAATATTTCAAAATTTAACATTTTTTATGGTTATTTTATTGTATTTTACCCCAATAACAAGGTAAAAAATATGTTTTCTTAAACCAGGTGTATATGGAAAGAAATAAGAAAAAAAAAAACTTTAAAGTCCGTTTATTTGAATTAAAGGCAAAGGTCTATAACTTGTGTATTGCACTCAAATATCAAAAGGAATTAAATTATAAAGAAAAGTATATCATCCATAAACACTACTAGATAGGAAAAAGAGACTTCATATAATTCAATTTGACGAAGATTTACCATATATTTATTGTCGTAGTGGTTTACATATTGCTTTAGGTCTAGCTTACGACATATGTTGATTATGCCAATTTTTTGGCAAGAAAATTGGTTTGGGATATTTAACTAAATAATTTAGCTTAAATTGGTAATTTAAATTTTCACTCATTCATTTATCTTTACTAGAAACAAAATTCAAAATGTCGTATTTAATGTTGAAGACCAAACAACTCTCTACAGGACTACTTGTAAGTTTGGATTATGATATATTAAAATACTAAAAATTCTAATATAATAAAATTTAGTCCTAAAAAGTTGTTGGGATCATTTAACTTAAAATTTTAAGTTAAATTCGAAGCTTTAATTTTTGCCCATTCATATCTTCATTTAGTGGTTAAAAGAAAAAACAATGCTGTTTATATTAAGAAGTATCTCAATTTTTTCATTTCAAATGTTTTTTTTTTTTTTTTTTTTTAAACAAGGCATCCGAGTCTGTTTGCGCCCACCTCAACTATAAATATGTTAGGACCACATTATTCATCATATTAACATATTTTCATTTACAACCTAATTGTGTAGCTTATTATATTTAGAATTCAAATTTTGAAAGTCATTTAATTTTGTCAACTCACCACTCATGACTCATCACCCTAAATTAGATAGTGTAAGTAATAACAGATTATGAGTGATTTTCACTATCTATTTTTAAGACATTAATTAACACTATCCAAATTTAAGGTCATTAAAAAATATAATATTTACACATTTTTTTTAACAAAAATATAAATTAATATACTTTTAATACATTAATATTATCAAATTTTAATTTTGTAATCAACCACCATAAATTATTATTAGGAAAGTGACCTTTAACCTCCACCAGTGTTGTCTTCAACCCCATCTTCAAGCGTAATGGCGGATATATATAATTGTAAAAATAAAAAATAAAAAAATCATTCATCTTCTTCTTTCATATTTTTACTTTAAAGCTTTGTATATGTAGTTATAAAAAAAATTAAAACTAAATTTAAACCAATCATAATTAACAATTAAGCATGAGACTTGTTGATGTATGCATCCAAACACATGGCAAGTTCCCAGAAGTATTATTCGCTTTGGGTCTTGGAGTCTACACAGTTTTGTCCTAAAAAAGGCTCCTCTAGGTGATAAAGGTATCCTTGTGCTATATAAATGACCACGACCCTCGTCTCCTAACTGATGTGGGACTTTGGCACCAACACAGCCCCCTAGGAGGCGAGAAGCTTAGGAGTGGCTTAGGTCCTCCTTCTAGCGCCAACTATTGATGTATGTCGGATCTAGACATATAGTAGGTGAGTTTCCAGAGGTATTGTCCGCTTTGAACTTTGGGGCCCACACAGTTTTGTCTTGAAAAAAGCACCTCTAGTTGGTGAGAGTGCCCTTATGCTATAAGCGACCAAGACCCTCGTCTCCTAACCCATGTGGGACTTTGGCACCAACAAGACCAAATCAATCAATATCGTTATCATACAATTATGAAGTAATTTGTTTACGGAATTGAAACCTTAAAGCTCTGACAATCAACAAATCCTCATTCAAGAAATTTGTGATACCTTGCCCTCAAAACTCTTACAATTAAGTAGTCAATTATAAATCTCGTCTTGGCAAAAGAAAAATCTGGTTTCATTCCCATTTAAAAAAACACCCAACATCACAAATTCTCATTAGGAAATTTGTGATACCTAGTTTGACTGATTTTGTTTCATGTTTTATTGTTAATTCTTATTTATTTAAATTTGCTTTTAATTTTGATAATTGCAAATATAAAGCTTTGAAGTATAAGTATGGAAGAAGAAGAACAATTCTTTTTCATTACAATTATATCCCCACTTAACTTGAAGATAGGGGCTAAAGACAAATATAGTGGGGGCTAAAAATCACTTCCCTTCTTATTAATATGAAGATTAAAGGTTGTGCCCAATGTTTTGAAAACCGGACCGGACAATGACCCGTTCAAGTGTCCGGTTTTCGGTTTGACCGGTTGGATCGGTCAGTTGGACCGTAATTTGTAAAATTACTTTTAGTCCCTAAAGGTTTAAAATTCATCAAAAACACCCCTAAAATACTCCCTTAAGGTTTGAAATCTATCTAAAACACCTCTATCATGCGAAGATTCTGATGAGTGGTGACGGCAGCGACGATCGACGGCCAATCGAAGCTGGAATCTTGGGGCTTTTGATGTGTAGGTGCCGGCGACTCTGATGATGGTGCCAAGGAGTTCCATCGACGCCGGAAATCGCCGGAATCAACAAAAGAACTCTGACGGTCGCGTGAAGTTTAGGTGGACGGCGAGCGACGATGGCTGGACGACGGCCACTGAAAATGGCAGGGTTTTGTAGTGGAGATGCCGTCAAGTCTAATGGCGGTGATTTCTCCCTCGATCGGTGCTGGAATCCGGCGGGATTCAACCGCGATTGGACCGCGATTCGGCACTATTCTGGCGGTCCAACCGCGGTCCAATCCGGTTTAAATGCAAATAGCGGTTTTTTACTTATTCCGGACCGGAAATGCCGCCGGTCACCGGTCGAACCGGTCCGACCGGACGGTCCAGTCCGGTTTTCAGAACCTTGGTTGTGCCTACATGTATGGAATACACGAATATTTTTCATGAAGCATGTTATACAATTATACCATAAAAGAGAGGCTAATAATTTCTCTCAATTCTAGAAAGGATAAATATTTATAGCTCCTAAATTTAAAAAAGAATATCAAAGGTCTATCATTTTCTAGAAAATTATTCAAAAAGTTTCATCAATGCTTATAGCTAGTAGCGGATTTAGAATTTTTTTTTAAGATAAGTCAAAATAAAAACTAATTGTATATAACATTCATATTTTGTTTTTCTAATTGAAATTGTCACAAAAAGAAATAAAATTACATATTAATATTTTTTTTTTTAAATTTAAGAGTGGGCCATGGCCAACCCTCTACTTACTCTACATTTGCCGCCCCTACTTCTAGTGCTCAAATTTCCCTAGGGCCAAACTTAAAAATATCTCCACAAATCTTACTTGCACCCTATTTAAACAATTTATAAGATATATTTATTTAGAAATAGAATCATAGTTCAAATATTAATCAAAGGAGGAATTAAGTATAAGTGAAATAAGAATTGAATGTATATGAGATCCGTTCCAAAATGGAATTAGATTCACAATTCTTCTAAACTATTCATTCTTCTCGTCCTACCTAAATTCCTAATCATCGAAGGGAAGTGTTCTCCTAAAACTCTTCTACTTCACTATATAAAAAAGGCTAAAGACATGCGATGATTACGCCATTCATTATTGGAAAGCCTATAACTTGAGGATTCCGAATTGAGCCTAACTATTGCCCTTTTAGCCTCCTAAACTGTTTGTTACCCTGCTAAGCCATAGGAATTCTTTAGTTTTGTTTTTAGCCTCCCAAACTGTTTCTAACCCTGCTAAGCCATAGGAATTCTTTAGTTTTGTAAAGAGTAGTTCCGCTAATCAGGACAATATAAGTTTCACCCCAAGATTGGGGCGAGGAGTCAACGTGGTCCAAGTTCGCCTGAACTGGCAGCCTTTTAATGCTTGGATTACAACCTTCAACTGTTGGCACTGCAAACTCTCTTAATGTTCTCTAATCCGCTATATCTACACTTGGTCTCACTTTTGCTTTCTTCTTCTCTTTGTTGATTCATATCACAGTCATTTCGATTTTACGGTCTATAAGAGCCAAAGTAAGACTTCTCGATCTTGGCATACACTGCAAAGAAAAAAAATTCAAGCTTAAGACTATACAAAATTTATGCTTATTAACAA